CCACTTGGGTTTAAATCTACCTCCCTAAAGTCACTGACCTTGGTCAAGGTACTTAACCTCTCTGAAACTTAGTTTCCTCATCTAAACCAGGGGAGAGAGAACATTAGCCATTTTATAGAACTGTTGTGGTGGTTCAATGAGAAGACAAATAGTTAACATTATAGAGGGTTTAGTACATGCCAGGCACCATGCTAAACACCTTGTATTATCTCTTTCAACCTCCACCACAGCTCTGAGGTCAGTAATGTTATCACCGGCATCTCACAGGTCAGGAGACCGTGACCCACAGAGTTAAGTGCTGTGCCTGTAGTGAAACTGAGATTGGTACTCCAGGCACCATGTATTAACATGGTGAAGTCAGGATTTGAAGCCCAGACATCATCTCCCAGTCGAGAGCATGCTCTTGACCACTGTCATAAAGGCTGTGGTGCATAAAAGCACTAAGTACTATCAGTTCCCTTTTCAGGGGGTTCATGGATGTTTACAGGGGTGTTCGCCATTCCTGAGACTCCAGGTCATTCTGCAGTCTTTTTTACCCAACCTATGGAAGGAGTGTTCTGGATGTGCTTGTCTACTCAGTTGCTCTAGTTATAATGCTTCTGTTTGCTCTGCCTCCATATCCTGGTCCACCTCCGTTTGGGCAGCCGCTCAGCTGGTCAGCTGGGATTGGACCACTTCACAGTGATACCATCAGTGGCCTGTACATCCCTCTCCAGGCCCAGGAGTCTTCCCAGAAAGCCCTGTGGGGCCCTGGCTTGTTCCTCAGCTTGTCTTCCTCCCTATACCTCAGTGACAGACTTGGCAAAGGTCTCGGAAGGCATCCCTCTTATCATTCATGGAGTGCCTTGAGTGGGTTGTGACTGTTTTGTGACTTACTAAGATCTCTGAATCCCTCTAACAACCCTCAGTGGGCTCCCAGGACTGAAATTCTGTAGACCTCCTTCACATCCACGGTATTGGAGATGTTTTTTCCACAAAGACTGGCCTTGTTTTGATTCACAAAGTACCCCAGGACTCAGAAATCCTGCCCTTTGTAAGACCCTCTCAGCTAGGTGTCCAAGCCCTGTAGTTCAAATGCAATCTCCTTGATTTATGTTTGATTTCAGGACTCCCAAGCCTCAACAGCTACCAGCAGGAATAGGCACACAGGTGCCACTGGGTAAACAAAGCTGTCCCCCAGGCCCCTGGCTGCCACTGCAAATACACTCCCTTGTGCTCAAGACGTACTTCCAGCCATCCAGTCCACCAGGCAAATACCTGTGACACCTGATTCAAGTCCTACCTCCTCCCTGGACCTTTCTCCTTCCCTTACCCCCAACACATCAGCCAATAAGCTAATTTTTTTCTCCCCTGTTCTGCTCCTGTACCTTACATATGCCCCACAGCTAGAAAAAAGGTACTCCTTCCTCAAGACACTTGACTGCCACCTGCCGGAGATTCATGGCAATGGCTCCACAGATCTCTGCCTCTTAGAAAGGAGAAGGCACATCCTGGAGTTGTGCCGTGCGCTGCTCACACCGCTGGAAGCACAGCGCTGTCTATTTTAGTCAGTGTGCCATCACGTCTTTATTTAAACTGTCTCTCCAACTAGATTGAGGGAATCTTGAACACAAGGACTGCTGGTTCCTCCCTGTGTCCCCAGTGCCCTGGCTTCTGCTAGGGGCTAGAGAATGCTTGCTGAATGATTCTGGTGCAAACACCTGTCACCTTAGTCTCAAGGCACCTGGTCTCACTGGGTGAACATTCTCCAAATCCATCTGGTGCGAAGCAAGGCAACCAAATCTCTCACAACTGTCAGAGTGACCATGGAGGGCCAAGAGGCACTTGCAGGTGGCAGGGCTCCATTAGCCTCTCACCTCTGCTTAAAGGCCACTGCCACCAGAACAGATGGAGCACCCCCACATTCCTTCCCTCTGTGAACCTTGGGACAGGCCCCAGCAGCATGTGGGGTGAATGGGTAGGGGAGGGAAGGTGCTTCCCGAGCACTGCTTGCTGGTGGCCAGCCCCTTGCAGGCTGTGGAGATGCTAAGGTGGCCACACAGGGGTCCTTCTGGGGAGTGGGGAGTCTTGTGGGAGTAGATCGGGAAGTGGACAGCTACTGGACAGGGTGGTCAAGGATGCAGACTCACTGTCCTTCACATCTCTCTCAGCCATGCCCTTTTACTAAGTCACACCATTGAGAGCCACTACCCCAGTGACATAACAGAATGCCATCCAGCTGTCACTTATGGGGGTGGGGGCAAGAGGAGGGACAGGCTTTCATGGGGTCCCATTTCAAAAAGGGGGAAGCCTTCTGTTCTCACTCAGAGCTTGTTTTCCCAGCGCCATTTGGCACAGCGTCGCTCAGGTCCCACAGAGAGAACCTCCTGGTCAGGCCCCTCCATGCTCAGTCTGTCTGGATGGACTGACTGATACGCCTCCCAGCCTGGGTGAGGGCCGAGCACTTCCCTCTCTGCTCTGGCTGCCAGAAGCCTCGGGACAACTTGTGGGCTCTGTGTGTGCAGCTTTTCTGAACCATGAGTTGCTTCTTATCATTTCCTCGCATTCATTCCCCAGTATGGGTCATCTTCTGGGATTTTGTGTTTTAGTTTGTGGGAGTGGTTTTGGAGGCGGGGTGGGCAGCAGTGTGGTAGTTAGAAAGAACCACAGGGAGCCAGACACAGCTGGGTCATCTTAAGCTACATACCCCACGTGCTAGCTGTGCCAGCTTAAGCACTGTAACTTTGCCCTTTGGTCCTGACTTCCTTACAAAGAAAATTGGGATGATCGTCACAATGAACGGATAGGCTTATGTGAAGACTGGACTAGTCTGGTGTGAATGCCACTGTCCCCGTTTCTCCTCCCAGATCCTGGTCTGTGTTTCCTTCTTCCTGCCTGTGTCAGTCAGCTTAGCATGAGTGACAGAGTGGCAAGAATCAGGTGACCAGCTGCCCTGGTTTGGCTGGGACAAAGGGGTTTCCCAGGATGTAGAGCTTTTAGTGCTAAAATGGGAAAGTCTGAGGCAAACAGAAGAGTTGATGACCCTAGTAATAAACAGCCTCAAAGATTTGTTTGAGGCTTATAGTAGCAAAGATTTGTTTCTCCCTCTTGCTGCTATCCACCCAGGGCCTTGGCTAGAGGAGCTTCTAGCCCAGGAATTGCTGGTCTCAGCACAGAGGAACACATGGTAAAGGTTCTGTTCAAAGTCGTGGCTGTCCTTTCCACTCACATTCATTGGTGAAGGTGAGTTGCATGGCTGGGCCTGGCACGGGGCAGCCTGCACACCGTCCGCACAGGGAGAGGCAGCGAAGGGTCTGAACCTGAGTGCAGTGCTCCCCTTCCTCTTCTTGTGGCACGCTGGGGCAGAGACGAGGGGCGGGAGAGACACCTGGTCTGCTTTCACAGTGGAGGAGGAGGGCTGGGCTGGAGAGTGAGCAAACCCGTGGTGGAGGCCTGGTGTTTCCTGCTGGGGGAGTTTGGGGGTTCACCTGGAAGGCTTGGGCCAGAGCAGTGAAGCCATTGAAGTGTCTTAAGCAATGGGCTGTCCTGTCTCTGACCACAGTGAGGAGGCAGTGAGGCTGGAGAGGAGAGCAGCTGCTGGTATGGAGGAAGGGGCTGGACCCATTCCGCAGAGGGCTGTTGGGGGGGTCTGGAGTGTGCGAAGGAGTGAGGGGAGGATGTCAGGATCCTGGGTCGCTAATTTGGGGGCTGGGTGAATAGTGTGGGGACCTGCGTGAGGGACTCAGATTTAGATGCCGCACAGATGGTAAGCGTCCCTCCCAGGCCTGCCCTGGGGACTTGGAACCCATTTGCCGCTGCTGTACCAGTTGAGGCTTTAGGGACTGGAAGTTCAAAGTTCATGGTCTTGTTGTTTGCACACATCCAGACTGGGTTACCAGAATCAGACAAGAAAGGTCTCTGCATCAGACTGAACAGGAGAATAAATTGGGAGGACCAAATCTGGCCTACTCCTGGATATTCATTTGAAGACCTTCATGATCAAGGCAAAGATAATCCAAAGACTGCAAGAATTAGCCAGCAGAATGTGAAACCCCAGAATTTGACTTCAGTAATGTCCAGAAAGCCCCATTGAAAATCTGAGTTTGCCATCTCCAGGCAGAGCACAGAGAGCGGAGGAGGGTGGGTGGGGGACCCCGTGGGTGGGAGACCCCTCTGTTCCAAAGAGCAGTCCGTCCCAGCCGCAGGGGCCAGGGCGCAGTGGAGACCTCTGCCTTGCTGTGGGAGGTGGGCCACTGCCACTTTAACAGGCGCACCTTTTCAGAAGCAATTTCTCCCTGAGCTTCATGTGTGCCCAGACTCTGAACCTGAGGTTTGCGGACCTTTTCCTTAAACTTTGTACCTTGCTCCCAGCAGCTTTAGGTGTTGGCCCACTTGAGTTTGTTTTTGGGTCTCTGAGCACTTGTTTTCTGTTGTATCTGTTGTCTCTGTTCAGGTAATGGGCCTCACCTGAGAGCGGTGAGCAATTGCCTTAGCACTGAGGGTGGCTTCTGGAGCTCCGCAGCTCTCCAGATATGAGACTCGGCTGCTTTTTTCACCTCACTCTGCCCCGTTCCTCTCTGGTTAAATGAAGAAAATGGTAGTACCTACCTCACAGAGTTACTTCCAGGCTTAAGTGAGTCAGTCTACATAATGCAGTAAGAGCAGGGCCTGGCACAAAGTACACACTCAAGCAGTGTTCACTATTCTTACTGCCTGACCCAGTGGGAGAAATGAAAAATATAATTATCTGCTTTCTCCTAGGGCCGTGGCCAAGCATTCCTGTTTAGTAATTTAAAAAGCTTTGTTTTTCACAGAAATGATCACCTACCAGATTCCACCACGTGTTTGCAGTTCAGTTTAACAGGCAGCTGAAGAATGGGATAGTGAGCTGTCCAACATTACTGCTGTAATTAGGAGTGAAGAGCTAGCACCCCCTTCTCCCTTAGCTAATACGGGATTTTTAAAGGTACTTACCCTAAAGTGATATGTCTGGGTTTCTTTTCCTGTGGGCCTCACTGCAGGTTTCTGAAAGAAGTTGACTGCCTGCAAGGGAGCTACAAAACATGAAAATTGCTTTGAGGTGACCGACACGTCCAGTGGCCCCTTGCTCCTCCCATGGTGGATCTGAGGTTTAAGAGCTAGAGCTTCAGGTAATAAATCAATTCCATTCCCCTCCCCTGCCAACTGCTCTCATTGGCATCTTCAATGGTACGTCTTCCTTCAGGAAGTGTGATTTCTTCCAGGAGCCCTGAAACTTGGACTATTCCACCTTATGCAAATTGTCTGGCTGCTCAGGAAAAGGAGGGAGTGGGGACTGGAGGTGGCACCTCATGTCTGACATGCAGCCCAAAGGGCCACAGACCCTGAGGGTAGGGCTCTATACTAATTTCTGACCTACTTCTCTTAATGTCATTAATAAAACAATAGCCACCACCTTCAAGGCCTGTAATGTAATTAAATGGCCATAAAATGCTTCTCAAAGGATAAAATCAGAATAGCAAGGAAATCTTGAAAGCTAAGAGCAATAAGAGGGAAAGGATTTGTTCTACTGGGTGTTAAAGTGTATTATAAAGCCACAATAAGAAAGAGTGTGGCACTGGAATGGAAATAACTAGATCAAAGGGACAGAACAGAATGTCCAAAAGTAGACAATACATCACCATGACATTTCAGATGACCGGTGACAGGATGTATGGTCTAGTAAATGTTGTTGGGACAGTTGTCTATCTATTGGAGGGAAAGAAGAAATTCCCAACTTTAGGTAATGAACCAAAAATAACTTCCAAATGGATTAATTTTCATAAATCAGACACTTATAAAAATATAAGTAAAGAGATGACTATCTTTATTTGGGTTGAGAAAATGCTTTTTAAAACATGTCAGTTTTAGTAGTGCATACAAATATCATAAGCAAAAGGCACAAGGAGGGGGAGTATTTGCAACATCTATGATTAACAAAGAGTTAATATTCCTAACATACAAGTTTATTCATTCATTCATTCAACATCTATTTGAGTACTTATGTGCTAGAAAGTTCTAGGCGCTAAGGGTACAAGCAACAAACCAAACAAAATCCCTGCTCCTCTGATGCTGAGTCTGATGGGGAGGACAGCCAGAAGCTAGAGAAAGAGGCTGGTCAGTGTTGGCCAGATTTTGGTAAGGGCTATAGAAAAAAATTCAGTGGGGTAGGGATGCTTAGGGAGGTTGAAGGGGCAGCTGTATTCTATGGCTATTCAGGGAGGCTTCATTGATGAGAGGACCTTGGAGCAGAAATATAAAGGCAAAAGAAATATAAAGGAAAAAAACACAAATGAATTTTTGATTTTTGATTTTTGATTTTTGATTTTGAATGTTGAGCTGATAGGATTGCTGATGGGTTGGGCGCAGGCTGTGAAAGGAAGGAGTCGGGCTGACTTCCAGGAATGAAACACCACTTAGCGAGTATGACTACGAGGCTTGGCGTGGGGGGACCAAGGCTTTGGTCAAGGGGGTTGCAGTTTGAGGGCTCTGTTGTATATGCAAAGGGAGATGTCAGGGAGATGTTGGCTATACAAGTTTGGAATTCTGGGAGAGGTCCAGCTAGAGATGAAAGTCTGGGAGTCGTCAGAGCGTGGATAGTATTTGAAGCAGTGAAACTAGACAGGGAGTTTGTGTAAGGAGGGAGTATAAGCAGAGAGGAGGTCTTAGGATATCCGTGGGACTTTCAGTTAGAGGGGAGAGAGATGAGGAGGAACCAGCAAAAGAGACCAGAAAGGAGTGGCCGGCCACTGAAGCAGGGGGAGACCCGTAAGACGGCGGCATCCCCGGGCCTGGAGACCAGGAGAGGGAGCAGCTCTCTCAGGGGCTGCCGGCAGGGCAGGGAGCAGAGAAGGGAGAACCAGCTACTGGATTTAGTGACAGGGAGGTCACTGGTGACCCAGCAGGAGCTATCCTACTGCAATGATGGGAACAAAAGCCTGAGTTGAGTTGGTTATTGGCAGTAAGAAGAAAGAAATTGGAAACAGGGAAATGGGAGGAGGGAGGGTAACTGAAAAGGGAATGTAGTTCAAAGGTTTTCCTTTTTTCCCCCTCTTGTGAGAGCTGTGGTGGCAGGTTTTTACCTAATGGGAGTCTTCCAGTGGAGGGGGAGGTGCTTGATGCAGGATTGAGGGCAGGGAGGGCACCTACTGAGGCAGCAGTCCTGGGTGGCGAGAGGATGGGATTGGCACCCATCAGGCCCCCTCACCCACAGCATCTGGGAGGCCGGTAACCGTGGCCTCTTTTCTCAGTGAAGTAGAAGTGGGACTGGGTGAGAGTGTGGATTGTGGACATGTTGGAGGTTGAAGGAGAAAAGAGAAAGTATGACCCCCAGTAGCAGAGTGGGAGGAGAAATGGCTCAGAGGAGTCCAGAGCCACTGGCAGCCCTGGGCTGCAGAGGAGAGGGGGAACTGCAAGTGAGGGCAGCGGGCCTCCCCAGGTTCAGGTGCCCTAACATGAGTTAGGGGGCCCAGGGGTGGTCCTAAAGACAGTGCTGTGGAAAACAGAACAAGAAGGCACAAAGGAAAACAGAAATGCCTATAGAGCTGGGAGCACCAGGCATAATAATTTAAAACAGGGAGGTTTTGCTTTTCCCTTCAGATTGAAAGAGCTGTTGTTGGGGAATAAATTATTGGCACTTTCCTGGAGCACAGTGTTTCAGTATGTACCGAAATGTACAATGTGTGTCCCCTTTTGACCTTCAGTCCTACTTTTAGAAACTTATGAGAGATAAAAGCTCAAATACACAGAGTTATATGCAGAAAGATGTTCACTCTAACAATGGTTGTGAAAGTAGAAAATTGGCACACACCTAACCAGGAGGGCCTGGTTCACGAACCTGTGGGCATAGAAGTGATAGCAAGAGCTCACACTCACCTCTTGCTTTGCAGATGAGGAAACTCGGGCCCAGAGAGAGGGAGTGACAGCCCCAGTCACGCAGTGTGGAGCGTGGACCCGACTGTGGGCAGTACACGGTCCTCTTTGGCTTGGCGTTGGAGACCCTCGCCAGGTACTCGTCAGCCTCCTTGGGCTGGCTTGCTTCATGCTTTTGAAATGTGAATTCTCAAAATGTCTAGCCAGTTTGCCTACAATGTCTTCAGCTCATGTGCAAGGTTTTCCTTGCAGGGGATGCCGGGTACAGGACAGACTCTGCCTGGGTGGGTGATAGAGAGGGACCCTATTTTCTTGACTCCCAAGTGAGACTTAGTTTGAGAAAGGATTATTTTCTGCCTTCCTACAACTTTTACAAAAGTTGTAACAAAAATACAAAGATTACAAGTAAGTCATATTTATTTCATTGATCAGATGTATTGATTAGAAGAAAAGAAATTTAAGCCTGTCAGAACATCTGGGACAGCTGGTCCCCTCACTGGGAGGAGCATGGGGCTGGGACTCCTAGAGCCCCAGGGGGATTCTGGCTTAGCTCACCCATACTCTAGCTTGGGGGCCAAGTAGAAACCACTCAGTCTCTCTGAGCCTTGTGTCTTCATCAGATAAGCAAGCAGGTGAGCCGAAATCACATATACTAAAGCTATGATGCTCCTGTTTGACCTTGTCCCTGTTCTAGTTGGCTGGGTGAGAGATGTGGGGGCACAGTAAATGAGTACCCTGTCCCTCCACAGCATCCCAGCCTCCACCACCTTAGGAGAAAGGTAGAAATAAACACGCCTCTGTGCCTCCTTGTACTGATTCCAGACCTCCAATGGCAGACCAGAGAATGGACATTTCCTCAACAATCAGTGATTTCATGTCGCCGGGCGCCACCGACCTCCTGTCCAGTCCCCTGGGCACCAGTGGCATGGATTGCAACCGCAAACGGAAGGGCAGCTCTACCGACTACCAGTAAGGCCTGTAGGGGTCACCTGCCTCTGCTTGAACTTGGTGTCAGTCCCTGGGCATGAACACTGAGGGGCCCGCTCCTGTTTCTCCTGGATGAAGGGATGGGAGTGAATGCTCCGGCTCTAGGGGGCTGTGCTTATCGTCTCCCTGCCTCGCAAGCGGGAGGGAACCTCCAGCACTGCTAAGGCAGTCACTTTTCCCCTCTTGCCCCTAAACTATCCCACCTCAAGGGAAGAAGAAGAGCCTTAAAGCCCAGTTCTCTGCCTTTTACCCCTTTCTTTGTCTTCCTTTGGTCCTTTTGGCAAGATGGGTAAGTCTGTGGATGTAGTCTCAGTGGAGCAAAGAGCTTTGCCTGGGGGCCTCTCTCGGAGGAAGACAGCAGTTGCTTCATTATGTTGGTGGAATGAACAGTAGAGGTCTCTGAAAGCAAAGAGGAACATTGATATTGGCCTTAAACATTATTTAAATTAGTGTGTACCTGGTATATTACATAGTACCTTCGTTTCTTTTTAAACTTGATGACTTCTCTTTTGAGTAAGTAAATGTTCACACTTAGTCAGCTCATCTATGTCTGCACGCACACCTAGGGAATGAGGCTGTGTAGAACATTCAAAGGTACATTTGGTTTTGTGGAGGCAACTGTGTGGAATCTTATCCAAACGTCCATTTAAGAGTGAGAAGTGAAGATGTTTCTTTTGTTCAGTGAGGGAGAATCTCCAAGGAGGTGTCCCCCTCAGCAGATGTCCTTTCTGCCAAAGGTCACAGGTCAGACTTGGGGAGCACAGTGGCTGGAGGTCAGGTGCCCCCTAGGAGACACTATGATCGCTGTGTAAGTTATATCAGAGGATTAAGAGAGCCAGTGCCCTGGGGATGGAGAATAGGTGTGAGGACAGGGAGGGTGTTCTTCCACAGTAATAGCTCCCCAGCAGGGATCCAGGGGCTGTTTCCCATGGATCCTGTATTTCCAGCAAGTACTAATGGAACCACTGACATATTCTAAGACCTCTGCTGTCTAGAGCTACGGTTTCCAACCTTGTCACCACACAAGACTTTCAGGTTTCCCTCATAGATCCCAGTTTGTCAATCTTCTGTAATTCGTGGAGACCTTGTTAATTAAGCAGCCATAATCCCTTTTCCTATCATTTGAATGTATTAAGAGTCATACTTGTTAGGTGGAACTTCCCTTCACTTGAAGTGATGACCTTGACCTCAGAGGGCAGATACAAAGCAATAGGGGAGTCATCATATTCTGCATGATTTCCTCTCTACTTTAGGACTAGCTAGAGAAACTCTTTGCCTGTGAGGAAATCAAGGGTGCCTGGCTGGGAACTGCCATTCTAGAATTTCCATGATACGACAGTGCTTCTGAGAAAGCTGTTTGTGCCCTTGGGATGACATTGTTTGAAGAGCCATAATCCCTGCTTTCTAATGGCGTACAGGAGAACTAAGAAAGGCCCAGGTGGCAGAGACCTCCTGATAAATTTAGGGGCTGGAGAACGGTGCACACTGACTCCAGGGAAACTGGAATCCCTCCCTCTGAGCATTACAGGCTAGTTTCTACTGGACCACAGGGGCTGTGAAAGCTAAAGTTCTGGGCTCTGTGAAAATGAGGCAGATCCCTGCTGTGACCCCAGGATCCTCAGCCCCCCTCCACTCCTCTATCCCAGTTTCTCAGGCCTGGGGGTCTCCCACCTGGCTGAGAACCAGAACGTGGGAGGCAGTGCCTTGGGAAAGCTGCCTAAGGCCTCTGCCTTTAGGTTCTTCTTTGCAAGAACAAAGCCTCTCCCTCCTCACCCCCTCCCCCTAAAGATGTATGTGCGCACACGCGTACCTGATGCCTGAAGTGCTCTGCAGGTGGATAGGCCCTGCTCGTGCCAAATGAGGGAGGCAATGAGATGTTAGTTATTTGGATACTTCGGTTAACCAGGGCCTCCAGAAATGCTATGTGTTCTCGATTTTCAAACAAAATTTTCAAACAAACTCAATTGAGACTATATAGAACTTTGCATCATCTGGAAAACCAGGCCTAGTTTTATAGTAGGTTCAAGTTATGCTTGTTTGACTAATACATCAGTAACCAATACTATGGTTATTTGAGCTTTCTGTTTGGTTTCTGGATAACTGAGAGCCTCTACATTACATTAAGAAGCTATTCTGTATGCCCTTCTTAACAGTCACATTCTCTCTTGTTTTTTCAGAGAAAGCATGGACACAGACAAAGATGACCCTCATGGAAGGTACCAAAAAACTAGTCATTTGAGCTTCTGTGTCCTTATGGCCATTTTCTTTGCCTAATTACACGCTGTTACTTGAGGCAGGTTCCACCCTTGTCCTCAATGGGGATAAGCAAGGAGGCCATGAACCTGGCTCAGAATTAACCCCCCAGCTCCCAGTGTGGCTCACACTAACAGCTCTTGTGTGTCATAGTTGACAGAGTTTAAATGGGGAAATTAAATGGGAAAGCAAATAAATGTATAACTTTGCAATTAATCTCCAGGATATTGTGTTTTCATCTTTTTCTTTTTTCCCCCCAGGTTAGAATACACAGAGCACCAAGGAAGGATCAAAAATGCAAGGTAAGCTTGGACCCTCATTCTGCCTCCTAACTGTCCTGTTTCTGGTTCAGCTGAGTTTAGGTTCAGGTTCAGCCTGCTTAGAGTTCTGTGTCTGGAAGAGGCTCTGTGAGTCTGGTTCCTGTCTAACAGTCGTTTCCACACCACCACATCCTAAGGAAAGGGAAAGGGAAGGGGGTGCCTTAGCCTGATGTGGCTTTCTACCCTGGCTCTCTCAGACTCAGCTGGCTTTCAGCTTTACGCTAACTGCATTTAACCTGAAGGAAACTTTGGAAGTAATAGAAAGCAAATCAAGGCTATAGTTTTTTCCCAGTTTTTAGCAGCTTACCCTCCCCTGACTCGTGGGCCCTACATAGGAGACCTGGCTTGGTGATTCCTTCTTGGACTGTGCCCGGCCTCTTAGAGGGACCTTTACTGCAGTGCAGGTTGCAGCTGAAGCCTGGACGTGGAGAATGCCCTGCTGCCTTGAGCAGATTCTCTAAATTGATCCTTCCTGCCTCCAGCCACACTCTCACTTCCACGTGAGTCCTCTGCCCTCCTGACCTTAGTTCCAAAGTCACCCAAGGCTGTATTATGACAGAACTGGGGGCTGCTACCTCCTGACCTTAGTTCCAAAGCCACCCAAGGCTGTATTATGACAGAACTGGGGGCTGCAGAATTAGGCTGATCCAAGACTTTTCTAGCTTTTCTCTTGCAGAGAAGCCTGGTGGGAGGTCCTATGGCTCTGTTGTTACAGCAGTGGCAGCAAATTACATTTCCACTGTTGATGCCCCTCCTGAGAGGGACAGTCACAAATGGCATGTGCAAACCAGTCAGGGAGAGAGTGTGTGCTAGTAGAAGTGTCATCCTGCCTCGGCAGGCAGCAGCTCCTAGGAGGGAGGAGTGTGACATTCTTCAGAGGAAGCTCTTGGGGACAGATATAGCATCTGCTGTATCTAGGTGGAGTCATGGTTGATCCAAGGATGGCAGCATTCGTTACCTGGTGATTCAGTGAGTGAGTCTCTGACAGGCCACACAGCAGACTTCTCACAAAGCTCAGAGACAGCTCACTGGGGACCATAGGCTCCTCACTGCTGGCTGTTCTAGATGCTTTGCTCTTTGAAACCTCCACCTCCCTTCTCTTTCCTTCCACCCCCATCTTAAAATCCAAAGTGACAGAGGCTGAGAAGAAATGAGAAATTAATACAGTTTGCTCTGAGAAGACAAATTTTATAACATTTCTCCTTAGTTCTAAGTATGAGGTAAGCATAAAAAAACGAATTCTGACCTGGAAGTAAAGCCACCTTTATGTGACTTTAGTAGAAAAGTCTAGTTTGAAACATTCTGAAAATGCTAAATTTGCCTTGTCAAGTGAATATTGAAAATAGTTATGACTTATTTTTGTCATTGTTTCCTTTATGTTTGGTTATACTTTATAGAAATCATTTTTCATATTGTTGTTCAGGGAAGCTCACAGTCAGATTGAAAAGAGGCGTCGGGATAAAATGAACAGTTTTATTGATGAATTGGCTTCTTTGGTACCAACATGTAATGCGATGTCCAGGAAATTAGATAAACTTACTGTGCTAAGGATGGCTGTTCAGCACATGAAAACGTTACGAGGTGAGACCCTGGGCTTCATTGTCCTTTATGCCCTTGCCCACAAATGTTCCCACCCTTGCCTAGAACGTTCCTGAGTCCCTAAGGTAAATGTTAATACTTGCACATATGTAGCCTTGAAAATATGCCCATAACTTTCAGTAATAGACATGATGCCAAATGAAGTGATTATTTGACGTACGTGAGCGTCATGATGTGATTTTGCAGTCCTGCACCCCCAGAGGTTAGCAGCTATGTTCCCTGCATATATCTGTATGTGTATGTAATCAGGCTACATGTATATCAGAGGGGAAACACCTGATGTCCCATCTTGCATATATGTGTACCTGGCCCTCACCATGCAGTGATAAGCATCAGAAATAGAGGTGCACTTAATGACACAGAAAAGTCAGTTTTTGTTTTTAAGAGGAAAATTCAACATGGCTCCTTTGAAGAGTGAGTCACTGGTTGATGAGTCTTGCTGTGTTTCATTGTCAGGAGTGAACACTGATGATATTTTCATCTTTCTGGAATTTTCCCAAACCCGATAGACTCTCTGTGAGGGAGGCAGTATTTTCCTCCTTCTCTGAGCTTGGGGAGGATGGGAAAACAGAGGCAGAGACATGGAAGTGATGTATCCAAACCACAGAAGAAATCTGAAACCGGCATTTTAGTAAATGCTGTTTCTGGCATTTTCCATAGCTAGTCTGGGACTATTTGAGGAAATTGGAAAGTGGGCGCTCAGTCAGATCTCTGACCTGCGTGGTAAGAGAATTGCATCTCCATATTTCCACAAAGGTACCAGAAGGAAGTAGTTGGTTTTGGCTGACTTTTGATCATTATTCAAAAATGTAAATGGTATATCCTGTGCTTAGAGAATGGCAGTTAAAAATTCATATTATTAAAGATGTTAGAGATAAAATTGTAGAAGCTAGTTTGTATTAAATTGGAACAAAGAGAGTGGCAAATCTTGAGTTATCATAAAAAGCAGGTATGTGGGTCAATAATATATGCCTTGTTAGTTATTATGAAAGTCAAACACATTCTGTTTACCTCCTTCACCATGATACTCTGAATTATTTTTTATTTTATTTCTTCATTATCCTACTAACCATTCTGCAGATCCAAGTCACATACTGCAGCATTTTTCTCCATTCAGTTTTTGTTCTCCTGAAAGATGCCAGACTGACAGCCTTTTACATTAAGTCTTGTCCCCTTGCAGTCCTCGGAGCTAGAGTCACATTTTCTGAGATAATGCATTTCCCTGGACCGCCCAGCTTGTTTACCTCACCCTCATGAAGAGGACCTCTCACTAAATGCCTTCCACAGTATATTTACTCAGGGTCTGGCAGACTGGATGATTTCCCGAGAACATTTAGAGTGGTGATTTGAGGGGCTGCTAGGCAACCCATTTAATAAAGGTCTTGGGAGGTGGGAAATCAACCAGTCTGCTTCTAGAGCTGCCTTCTCTCTTTGAAGCAGATTTTTGACATCCTTCAGTTATCCCTTGGTTTTCCTAATAGTAACAAAAGCAAACTTATTAAGTCTCCTACAGATGACAGTGTTGTCTTTTCAGTGATTACAAGATTCTGCCCAAAGCTAGATCTAACCACCTCAGTTAAGGAAAAAGAAGAAATTTAAATCCCAGCATCTAGAAGGGTGGAGACCGTGAAGTGGAGACATTGCCTGAATGTGCCACCAATTCTTTCTCTCTTTCCCCCCTAAGGTGCCACCAATCCATACACAGAAGCAAACTACAAACCAACTTTTCTGTCAGATGATGAATTAAAACACCTCATTCTCAGGGTATGTTGGAATTATGGGACTGCTTCATAGAACAATTCTTTTTATAGATTTCAGAGTTAAGGACCAACATGTAGGATTTTGGTATCTCAGTGCTGAACTCTCCTCAGCCCACTTCCTCTTTCGGGTCTCCACCTTTATCCTATTGGTTTGGACAGTTCACGGTCTTTCCCTGAGACTTTCCTCCTCCTCTTCTACCCTTGCTTAGGCAAAAACTGAAGGTCTGTGCTACTGTGGTTTTTTAAATAAGAGGGGACGGGATTTTGTTAAAAACAGGAGAATCATATTCCTGCATGAAGGTTTCAGAAAGGGACTGAAACTGGTAATAATTGAGGATTTCTCTCAATCCTCATTTAACCTCTAGCACAAAAACATCCATGTAAATCTTAACCACCAAGTCCCAACAAAACAGCAAAGCTTCCGGAGACATCGCAGCCCAAGGAAGGACTCGGTGGGGCAGTTGAGGCTCCACCTGTGGACCGCAGGGCTCCATGCATGTGGCTCGTCTCTGCAGAGAGGCAGTTGAGGTGGCCGCATGGGAACTTGGCTTCCATGGAGAATTAGGGCTAGTCCTAGGTGGAGTGAGATTAATGTGGAATTTGAAGGGGAAGAATCTGGATTCAGAAACATGTCTTCTTGCAGATTATAAAAGGAAAACTTGAAAATGTCACTAAAAGGAAAGAGGCCCTCCATTCCCCACCCAACCAGGGTTGGCCTTTCTGGCCAAGCCCCATACAGAACCTTGGCCCCCCTTTGAACAGATGCTTGCAAAGCTCTGGGATACAGGCTAGTCTGGTTAGATTTTTGCATCATCACTACCCATTTTAAGCTCCACCTGCCTCCAGATCCTCTGCAAGTCTGGCCTGCCTGCTCACTCCAGTTTTCTCTATTAGTACCTTTATGACATGTTATATTAATTGGAAATCTTTCAGCTGCAAGGGACAGAAGATGTGATGAATAAATAGGGTTTTGTTTCTCAGGCGTGACTGGTCCTCTAGGCTGTGGTGGTCAACAGGAAGCCAGCTCTTTCTGTCTTCTCATACAGCCATGCCGAGCTAGCGAGCCCCTTGTTTCCATAATGCAGCAACGTGGCTGTGCCAGCTCTGAGTAGCCAAAGTGCCAGAGACAGGCCCAGGGAGGCACCAGGCCAGCTGTCCTTTTCTCAGGAAGGAAACGCCTTCCCAGAAGCCCAGCAGTGACTTCAGTTTGTCCAGAAGATGTCACCTGGGCACCCCTCGCTGCCGGCAGGGTTGCAGAGTGCGGATTTAGGTTTTCCAGCCTCTGTGGTAGATGCAGGCGAGAGAGAAGAGGGTTGGGAGCTGGTCCCAGCGGCATCCACCACACACTTTCCAGAGCCACATCCATTTGCTAGATTTCCCTCCAGAAGCGGCTCTCACAACCCAGTGCAGAACTCCAGTCATGGTCTGGTTGGCTAGGGGTGAAGGAAGCTGCTGCCTCCTTTCCCAGGGGAGCCATCTGATCAGTGCCACATTTTGGGCAGCTGTAATACTGCCCCTCCCCAACTCTCTTGTACATGAATTACTGTTAGGCCAGGTTTTTTTCCATCATGTATAGGTACAGTTTTTTTGAACTCCTCTTCATCTCTGTCAAAATCTATTTATTGGACAGTCCCAAGTTCCAGTTTGTCATCCACATGATCCTTTGAAGAATCATGTGACTTCTGTCTCAGTAGGCACGCCTTCTGTGTCTTTCATTTTCATTCACTAACAAATACTTCTGCATACTTATGTATATGCATGACTCTGTTCTAGGATCATCCATGTCAACAATAAATATGTTAGGGTGGGGCCGAGGCTTCCCAGCAAGTTAGTGATGGTGAAACCATCGGAGAAATGATGAAGAAACCTCCAGGGCTGACTTGTGGGCATGTGATGCATGCAGTCACACAAGGCCTGGTACTTAGTTTAATGCTCTGTGAACACTAACTTGAAAATCATAGTTTTTGAACAAAGGTCCAGCATTTTCATTTTGTACTGAGCCCCACAAATCATGTTGGTGGTCCTGACTGCTATATTGGTAATTGGATATTTTTATGTATAAGTGTTTATGTATATTAACAAGCTCCTTTTGTAATAGCAAGTGCTTAATAATTTTCTTGCTGCTTTTCTAAATTTCCTAACAGATGCCCACACTTAACAAAGTATGGAACAAGGAATTTTATGTTATTCAAGCTAAATATTTCACCTTGGGCTTGCCTTTTCTGCTCTTCTGTGTCACACAATGTCAGTGGTGATCTGTCTTCCCTGGTATAGCTTTTCTTACCTCCCTGGCCCATGTCAGCAGCTGTGAAATACTGCCTAATCCCTTGCCACTTCAGGTGCCCAGTTCCCAGGAATTTGCTTCAGCAGAAGGCAGGGTCTGCTCGGATGGTATCTGAACAGTTTGGTGGCAGGAACTGGACTTCGCTTTTCCTTACCAATGCAGTCTGACTAATTGCTCTCTTTACTAAGTACTTTCAAAATATTTTTACTAAATGGTGTGTCAGGGAGCAGTCAACCCCATCAATGTGTCATGTCCGGGGACTCTACTTACCCGGATTTGAAAGTAGGCAGACCCCACCAGGGCTTCTGTGTCATTTATCATCTAACACCATCTCCCCTGAGAGTGAGCCTGCCCCTGGCTTTCCTGCAGTCCTGTCGTGCTCAGGCTGTTCTCATACATCTGCCCTTCAGCTTTCCCCTAAACCCTGGTGCCTTCTGGGTGTGTGTCTGTTCCTGTGAAGCTGAGCTGGGAAGTTCTGAGCCTCCCCTACACTGACTGTACTTCTTGGCCTTGGGACCTACTCTCTCTCCCCTCGATGTGTGGAAATCCACTTTGCTCATGTCATCAGTTCGGGCCTGACTCTGCCCAGCATTCCTTCCAAAATGTCACAGTCATCTTCTTCCCAGGCACCTTTCATACCACATCACTGCATCAATGAAAAGCCTCAAAACACTTCTCTTGTTAGATATGAGATGGTCTGCAAGGCAAAAGTAGAAGTTACTAACACCCTGTTTTTGACAGAATGAGGCTTCCAGTAGTTGGTGCTTGGGATGTCACTTCCCCCATTGCCCCTGGGGCAGCCTAGAAGCCTAACTTAGGAGGGATCAGCCCGAGCCCCCTCTGGCTGAGTGGCCCACCATGCTCTCTCACAGCAAGAGCAATCCTGTGCTGCTCTTACTTCTTTTGCTCTGGCACAAGTACATTCTTTTACCTTCTGGCACATGAGTTCACTTCCTGGTTCTTTGAATTAAACTACATCACAAAGGCCCTTCTACAGAAAAGGGTATAGGGTTTCTGTAGACTTTTCCAAAGAAAAGACTGAGGGCTACTGAATAAAGCAAGATACTGACCCACTGTGTGTAGGAACCACAGGAGCTGAGCATACAAGAGCAATCGGTACCTGCCAGAGTAGGGCACACCCTCCCTGCCACTGGGGAGCCCCTGGCAGGGGTTGGGTAGTTGTCTATCTGGAAAGTTGTGGATAGCATTCATTTACACACAGACAAAATATCCGAAGCTGTCAGACACTGTAGCTTTGGTGTTTATCTGCTTCATTCTAACAAATATTGCCCTTCCTCAACACTTGGGTCGATTGCCACTATAGATTCTAACCTGTATTTGAAGTGAAGAAGCAGTGAAGGGAATTGAAGGGGAAATTTTTGCTTTGCTTTCCTAGCCTCAGAATACAGCAGCACAGCCCTGGGTCAACAGATGATATATGTGATACCTGTGTATCTTAGAATCACTTCAGGGTGGAGGGGAAGGGGATGGGGGTGAAACAATACCAGTGATCCAGTCCCATTCCAGACCATAAACAAACCAAGACTTAAAGCAAAAAACAACACACCACTCCCAGTGTTGAGCGCCACTGTCCTAGAGCGCTCCTTGTGAGCAGAGGTGGTCACATAGAGGACAGTTGGTGGCCAAGATACTGGAGAGGGTCTTCAATTTTCCTTTCAGTCTTAGATTCTATGATTCTACAAAGGGTTATTATAATTGCAGCAATAAAATATGACTTCTCTGGACCTTTATATACTCAAAGAAAACTTCTTAAGCTGAATTCTTCTTTGAAATAGAACTTACTTTAATTGGGCTTTTGCCTGCAATCATTCGATGATATATATGTATATATCCACCTTGAAAGAATCTTCTTATTCTCATAAGGCATCTGGTTTAAGCATATTTTCAGGATACTTGTGAAGCTGTCAATGAGTACATCCCTGTGCATTGGCTACTTAGAGAACAGATCCTTATTTGCTGTCACAGTGACTATAAATCATGTTTCCTTAAGTGTGATAAATTGATTATCCATTTCTCCTGATTAGGCAGCAGATGGATTTTTGTTTGTCGTAGGATGTGACCGAGGGAAGATCCTCTTTGTCTCTGAGTCTGTCTTCAAGATCCTCAACTACAGCCAGGTATTGTTCATGTTCCTATTAGTGCTGGGCCGCCTCATAGCAGCCAGAAAGGTCACCCCACATTTCAGAATAATTTTAGTATTCAAGTCACATGGGAAAGACTTGTGTTGTTCTCCCACCCAATCTTTCTTCTAGAAAATTCTTAATTTCTTAATAGAGAAATGACTTTAAACTTTGAAAAAAAAGTTTATATGCCCCATGTTTCCCCCATTGGAAGGTCTGACTGATCTCAGCAGCAGCTTTATAACTTTCACTACAAAATAAATATTGTACAACTGTGGGGTGGGGGTTGGGGGTGAGGTGCTATCTGACAAGGAAAAGAGGTAGGTAGAGAATACTAGGGAATTAGAAATTGGAAATCTACCCATACTGTGTTTGCAATGGTATGTCATTTATTAGCTCTGTTGAACCTCAGCTTCCTCTAAAAAAATGACTGTAATAACCCATCTTTTATGATTGTTTATAGGATCAACTAGGATAAACATTTATAGAAGCTTCTAGAGCAGACCTTTTCACCTATTATATCCCTAGAGTTTTTATTCGCCACTTATTCACTTATTCATTCCTTCACATGCTTTGCATGGAAACTTGGTAAGGCAAAAGAATTAAAGAGTCAAAATAACATTTATTATATTAAAATAACATAATAATATTATTTAATGTTTCCAAAGTGTTTTGTTCTTCTTAGTCTTCAAGCAAAGTTTTGGAGGAAATTTTTATTATGTGTGCTGACAGATTAGGCTATTGAGGCCTATAGTATAACACAACTTGCTTATGAACAGAAAGCTTAGTGGAGCTATAGAGCCCACACCCTGCATTCTTCCTTCTGAGGTCTTAGAAGGGAAATTTGTAGGCATCAGAAATAAATAAGGAATTCATAAGCTAAGAGTCTTGCCTTAGAGGAGCATGGCTTATTTATATAACTGAGCCCCTTTTCCCTCATGTGTTCTCAAAACCAAATTCCTAGTGCCTTGTCCATTGTGTCTTTCTCTAGGCAAAGTAATTGGACATGTGCACGTGCTCACATAGGAAATATTTGAAATTCACCTGCCTAAAAACACAAACTAAAGGGAAAGCCCTTGTTGGAAAATTTATATTTCACATGTGAGTGACTTGCCATTGTTAATGTTTCCTCCCCACAGAATGATCTGATCGGTCAGAGTTTGTTTGACTACCTACATCCAAAAGATATAGCCAAAGTCAAGGAGCAGCTCTCCTCATCAGACACCGCACCCCGGGAGCGGCTTATAGATGCAAAAAGTGAGTATGGAGGAGGCATCCTCCACAACCCCCTCAGAGCGCTGAGCGCTGGCCCAGAGAGCTGAGTGTGCATGGCAGCCTCAGCGTCTCAAGGTGTCCCACCTCTCTGCCCTTCATTGGGATCACAGGTGCTGTCTTGAGCTAAATGGAGTTACCTGCATCCCTTTGCATGTGTTTTTGCTTTGTTTTACATAAAGACGGGAAAGCTCAATTTTCTCTTGTTAGATATGAGATGGTCTGCAAGGCAAAAGTAGAAGTTACTAACACCCTGTTTTTGACAGAATGAGGCTTCCAGTAGTTGGTGCTTGGGATGTCACTTCCCCCATTGCCCCTGGGGCAGCCTAGAAGCCTAACTTAGGAGGGATCAGCCCGAGCCCCCTCTGGCTGAGTGGCCCACCATGCTCTCTCACAGCAAGAGCAATCCTGTGCTGCTCTTACTTCTTTTGCTCTGGCACAAGTACATTCTTTTACCTTCTGGCACATGAGTTCACTTCCTGGTTCTTTGAATTAAACTACATCACAAAGGCCCTTCTACAGAAAAGGGTATAGGGTTTCTGTAGACTTTTCCAAAGAAAAGACTGAGGGCTACTGAATAAAGCAAGATACTGACCCACTGTGTGTAGGAACCACAGGAGCTGAGCATACAAGAGCAATCGGTACCTGCCAGAGTAGGGCACACCCTCCCTGCCACTGGGGAGCCCCTGGCAGGGGTTGGGTAGTTGTCTATCTGGAAAGTTGTGGATAGCATTCATTTACACACAGACAAAATATCCGAAGCTGTCAGACACTGTAGCTTTGGTGTTTATCTGCTTCATTCTAACAAATATTGCCCTTCCTCAACACTTGGGTCGATTGCCACTATAGATTCTAACCTGTATTTGAAGTGAAGAAGCAGTGAAGGGAATTGAAGGGGAAATTTTTGCTTTGCTTTCCTAGCCTCAGAATACAGCAGCACAGCCCTGGGTCAACAGATGATATATGTGATACCTGTGTATCTTAGAATCACTTCAGGGTGGAGGGGAAGGGGATGGGGGTGAAACAATACCAGTGATCCAGTCCCATTCCAGACCATAAACAAACCAAGACTTAAAGCAAAAAACAACACACCACTCCCAGTGTTGAGCGCCACTGTCCTAGAGCGCTCCTTGTGAGCAGAGGTGGTCACATAGAGGACAGTTGGTGGCCAAGATACTGGAGAGGGTCTTCAATTTTCCTTTCAGTCTTAGATTCTATGATTCTACAAAGGGTTATTATAATTGCAGCAATAAAATATGACTTCTCTGGACCTTTATATACTCAAAGAAAACTTCTTAAGCTGAATTCTTCTTTGAAATAGAACTTACTTTAATTGGGCTTTTGCCTGCAATCATTCGATGATATATATGTATATATCCACCTTGAAAGAATCTTCTTATTCTCATAAGGCATCTGGTTTAAGCATATTTTCAGGATACTTGTGAAGCTGTCAATGAGTACATCCCTGTGCATTGGCTACTTAGAGAACAGATCCTTATTTGCTGTCACAGTGACTATAAATCATGTTTCCTTAAGTGTGATAAATTGATTATCCATTTCTCCTGATTAGGCAGCAGATGGATTTTTGTTTGTCGTAGGATGTGACCGAGGGAAGATCCTCTTTGTCTCTGAGTCTGTCTTCAAGATCCTCAACTACAGCCAGGTATTGTTCATGTTCCTATTAGTGCTGGGCCGCCTCATAGCAGCCAGAAAGGTCACCCCACATTTCAGAATAATTTTAGTATTCAAGTCACATGGGAAAGACTTGTGTTGTTCTCCCACCCAATCTTTCTTCTAGAAAATTCTTAATTTCTTAATAGAGAAATGACTTTAAACTTTGAAAAAAAAGTTTATATGCCCCATGTTTCCCCCATTGGAAGGTCTGACTGATCTCAGCAGCAGCTTTATAACTTTCACTACAAAATAAATATTGTACAACTGTGGGGTGGGGGTTGGGGGTGAGGTGCTATCTGACAAGGAAAAGAGGTAGGTAGAGAATACTAGGGAATTAGAAATTGGAAATCTACCCATACTGTGTTTGCAATGGTATGTCATTTATTAGCTCTGTTGAACCTCAGCTTCCTCTAAAAAAATGACTGTAATAACCCATCTTTTATGATTGTTTATAGGATCAACTAGGATAAACATTTATAGAAGCTTCTAGAGCAGACCTTTTCACCTATTATATCCCTAGAGTTTTTATTCGCCACTTATTCACTTATTCATTCCTTCACATGCTTTGCATGGAAACTTGGTAAGGCAAAAGAATTAAAGAGTCAAAATAACATTTATTATATTAAAATAACATAATAATATTATTTAATGTTTCCAAAGTGTTTTGTTCTTCTTAGTCTTCAAGCAAAGTTTTGGAGGAAATTTTTATTATGTGTGCTGACAGATTAGGCTATTGAGGCCTATAGTATAACACAACTTGCTTATGAACAGAAAGCTTAGTGGAGCTATAGAGCCCACACCCTGCATTCTTCCTTCTGAGGTCTTAGAAGGGAAATTTGTAGGCATCAGAAATAAATAAGGAATTCATAAGCTAAGAGTCTTGCCTTAGAGGAGCATGGCTTATTTATATAACTGAGCCCCTTTTCCCTCATGTGTTCTCAAAACCAAATTCCTAGTGCCTTGTCCATTGTGTCTTTCTCTAGGCAAAGTAATTGGACATGTGCACGTGCTCACATAGGAAATATTTGAAATTCACCTGCCTAAAAACACAAACTAAAGGGAAAGCCCTTGTTGGAAAATTTATATTTCACATGTGAGTGACTTGCCATTGTTAATGTTTCCTCCCCACAGAATGATCTGATCGGTCAGAGTTTGTTTGACTACCTACATCCAAAAGATATAGCCAAAGTCAAGGAGCAGCTCTCCTCATCAGACACCGCACCCCGGGAGCGGCTTATAGATGCAAAAAGTGAGTATGGAGGAGGCATCCTCCACAACCCCCTCAGAGTGCTGAGCGCTGGCCCAGAGAGCTGAGTGTGCATGGCAGCCTCAGCGTCTCAAGGTGTCCCACCTCTCTGCCCTTCATTGGGATCACAGGTGCTGTCTTGAGCTAAATGGAGTTACCTGCATCCCTTTGCATGTGTTTTTGCTTTGTTTTACATAAAGACGGGAAAGCTCAATGTCCAAATTTGTTGAGAGGAAAAATAGCTACTTTGATTCTTTCTGATTTTCAGTCATTTTTTTTCAGAATCTAGAAATTCCCACTTGTATGCTCCTGAGTTTAAAGGGCTCACACCAGTTTGATTTGCTCCCCACCCCCCTCCACCCAAAACCACCTCTGTTTATGGGAGTTGCACACCTGCAGCTTCCTAAAATTAAGAGAACTTGAATATAAATGACATTTCTTTGACCAGAGTGGGTCCTTGTTAGACTGGCTCCCCCTTCCGGCTTCCTTCTTGCAGCCGTGGGACCGCCGTTCACAGCCTTCCCCACAGCCTCCTGCTCCTGCATCCCTTCCCAGCTCTCCTCTAGTCCTGTGGTCAGCTGTGGGCTCCACAGTTACAAGTGTGGCCTCTGGAGTCAGATTACCAGGCTATGTCCTGGCTCACCATTACCAGCTGAATGACCTTAGCAAATACATAAGCTCTCTGTGCCTCAGCTTCCCTATCCACAAATAGTACCTATTTCATTGGGTTGTTGAATTAAATATATTAATATAAATAAAGCACATGGGACAGTTTCTCGTACATAGTAAGCACAATATCAATGTTGTGATATTGTGGACCAGTGCAGTCAAGGCCCTGCTCTTTTGCAGCTTCCAAGTTCCCCATTTTAATCCCCAGAGGAGAACACCACCAGAATAATCTCCTTTAAACCAGCCTTCTCATTAAGGCACCCCTTTTCTTCTGAGAAGTTCAGTGCATTCCCTGGTACCTAGACCCTGGTACTTTTTTAGTGACCTGAGGAGAAAAAGGTGAATGACATGTGGCCTTTGCCTTTAAGGCTCTGGCCATGTAGTCAGGATGACCAGGAGACAGACAGAACTCTGCATAACAGATGCAGCCATAGAAATAATACAGGACACAGGGATTTGATGACCAGTTCTCGTGGGTGCAACAACAAGCATCCCCATGTAGGTGACAGTGGAGGAAAGATGGTTAATGTTTGACAGGTGATGAAAGGAAGAGAGGGAGGGACCCGATTTGTGGCCAGTTGCAGAGGGGTGGTGCCCTGGGGCTTGCCTGGTGCTGCTGGAGTGAAATGTCAGGGCAGAGCAGGGCTGGGCCACAGAGACCATTCCTTCCGCCCATCCGTGGGAACACAGTGACGGGCTCTGACCTGGGCCGCAGGCTGACTGACACTGCAGGAAGATCACTGACATGGCAGTGAGGGAGTAGGTCAGAGAAGAGACCCAGAAGGAGCCCTGAGCAGCAGCTCTCCTGTGATAATTGTTCCTGTGGTGGGCAGGGGGTACTTGTTCCCCCTGGACGTGATTTGCCTCCCGGCTTCTGCACTGACAAGTAGCTAGTGTTTCCACGGGAATCACAGTCCTGTACCTCCTCCAGACAGTCTAAGTCAGTTGATCTAGAACAGCACAGTCCAATGGAAACATAATGCAAGCCACAGATAAAAGCCACATGTAAGAGTTTAAATTTTCTTGTAGCCCCATTTAAAAAAAGTAAACAAAATATTAAATTGATTTTAATACTCTATTTTATTAAACCTGATATCCAAAATGAGGTTTCACATTTTTTTTTTGTACTAAATCTTTGAAATCCTGTGTGTATTCACGCTTACAGCACACCTCCAACCAGAATAGCCACATTCCAGGTGTTCAATACTGCCTGTAACTAGTGGCCCCTGCACTGGACAGCACACACCTAGAATGAGGGCCAGGAATCTGTATGCTGATAAATCATCCCTGGGGTTCAAGAGTACAGCCAGGTTTGAGAATTTAAGGCAATCCTGCTTCCTCCTTCCCATTCTGATGTCTAAATCTTACCCATCCTTCAGGTCCCAACCCAAGTTCTTCCTCCTCTGGGAAGCAGATTGTCTGTGCTATTTATTTGGATCTAATTATATATCACCTGGTATTATTATTAATCTTTTCATGGTGAATTTCCATTTTCCCTTCTCAGCCTTAAGCTCCTGCTAGACAGGAGCCCCATGCTGTAATTCCTTTTATTCCCCCAGATCATCTAGTCCATTCATTCAGCAGCTTCTATGTGATCTAGAAACATTTGAGATTGGCAGTGCACCTGTGCCTTTGCATCTTCTAAGGTTTAAACTGAAGAGAAATGTGGTTCTCATGTCATCGTAAACATGAGGCAGGGAAGAAGGCTTTCTGCAAGGTCATGCTCAACCTCTGACAGGCAACACTGCCCTCAGTTCATCACATTTTGTGTGTTGATTTGCAGCCGGACTTCCAGTTAAGACCGATGTAACCCCTGGGCCGTCTCGGCTATGTTCTGGAGCACGGCGTTCTTTCCTCTGTAGGATGAAGTGTAACAGGCCTTCAGTAAAGACTGAAGACAAGCATTTCCCCTCCACCTGCTCAAAGAAAAAAGGTAACTGCTTAATAGTTCTTTGAAGCCCTATTACAGGTCAGGTTTGCTTCCTGCTATGAAGCTCTAAGCAGGATGCTGGTTCACTGGTTCCTAACCGGCCAGGGCAGCAGACCACAGTACCCCAGCCAGGAGCCCCTGGTCCCCTTCTTCCCCTACGGTGTGGGGCAGTCGGGGACCAGGGCTGTCGGGATAACCAGAGGTGGTAAGTCCTGATGGTTGTTATGACGACAGATTCACAGGAAGATTTCCTGTTTCAATTCTGCTGGTTTTAATGTGGTTGAGACAGAATACTCTCAGCCACGGTTCCAACTGCTCCCTGAGCAGCCCACCAGTCGACCAAAGTTACTGTCACGAAGTTTATCAGTGAGCTTCATGCTAAAAGCAACATATGCCTTCATTTTCCTTGTGTCGTGAAGTGTTTTCTTCCTGAGGATTCCATGACCACATTCTTGTCTCCCCCGTCTTTTGCCACTCCAGGCTCTCCTTGGTTCCTTTTGCTGGCTCTTCCTCTTCTGTCCTGAGCTGCCTTCTCTTCTCTGTCTACACTTGATCCATAGGTAATGTCATCTACTCCCTTAGCTTTCAATGCCATTTATATGTGAATAACTTTCCAGTTTCTATTTCTAGCCCAGACTTCTCTTTTGAACTCCAGATCCATTAATTAACTGCTCATTAGATACCTGAAGGGCATCTCAAATGTGATATATGTAAAAGTGAGCTTCTCTCTGATGTTAATGGCACCACCATTATCTCACTGCACATACTAGAACCCTGGGAGGCACCTCCTGATCCAGTTATGAAGTCCTGCCAGTGAATTCTTTCTGCAGAAGTTACCCCCAAACATTTACTATCTCCATGTTTACTTCTATCACTCAGATCTAAGCAACCTTCGGTTCTCACTAGATCTCATAAATATCCATCCCTCCACACAACAGCCAAAGTGATCTTTTTAAATGGAAATCTTTGCATCAGTCTTCTGTTTAAAACCCTTCAGTGTTCCCCATTGCTCTTGTAGAGAAGTTCAAAACCCTTAAAATGACCTTGCAGCCATCCCACCACCCCCTGCGCCACTACTCTGGACATTTGAACCATGCCAACTTCTTCTCAATGCCTCAACCCCCTTTCTATCCAAGGCATCTCTCCCCACTGTCATCTCCAATTGGAATCCACCCCTCCTTTGCCACCAGCTCCCTTCAGCTGGCTCACTACAACTCATCCTTCAGAGCTGGATATCAATGTCTGTCACTCCCTACCTCAGGCATCTAATGTCTTAATAGCACCCTGCAGGTTTTCTTTTTAGCACTTTCTTACAGTTGCAGTTATGTTATTATTTGTTTAAAGTCTATCTTTCCCTTTAGATGGTTAAACTCTACAAAGCCATGTCTGGTTTGTTTTCCACTGTTCCCCAGTAACTGGCGCAGACTCCATGCTCCAGAAATAGTTCATAAGGATTTGTTTACTGCCAAAATCCACAGGTATTCTACACTTTCCATGTCCCAGCTGAAATCTTCTCTCCTGCTGAAACACACTCTGTTCCCGCTTACAAGTTAGCATCAGCAGCCACTCAGTCCAGAACAGCTGCATTGTCTGTCTTTCATACCAGTTTGATGTTCATACAAACGCCAACAGCTCTCTCAGAAATTTCTCCTGCCTCCTTCCCTACCCCGTCATCTTCACTGCACTTCCTGAGTACAGTCCTCATCATCTTTTGCTGATTTTTGGCCCTCTGCTGGGTTTTACTCTTCCAGTTCACCCATCCTTCTGCTCTGAGAGTATCCAAATGCCAGTTTCACTGCTTCCCTACTTACATACCTTTGGAAGCTCTCCTTTCCCTATCTGAAAAACACTGGCACATTTGTTAGCAGATAATCCAAGGCCCCTGTATCTGCTCCCAGCCTGCCTTTCCTACCCCCAGCACCTCCCTTTCCACTTCAACCACACAGAACTCTCTGCTGTTTCTTGTATAGGATATGGCCCTGTTCCCTTGTACATTCTTAGTCTTCACACATTCTGGTCCCTCAGCCAGTGCTCATCCTTCTTGCTCCCCGTGCTGTGTTTTTCTGGGCAGCCCTTCTCTGCCCAGGTAGATGTATTCCTCCTTTGGTGTATGCGAAGTCCTTAGTACCACTGGCTCCTCTCAGCACATAGGATGCTGCAGATCATTACCGATTTTCTGTCTTCCTCTCTCACTAGATGCTCAGCTCTGGAGAGTAAAGCTGTTTCTAATGTTTTGAATCCCTACCTGCCTCACAACTCACCAGAAGCTGCCTATGCCTCATGCCCCAAAGTCACACTGACACTAACTGTAGACTTTGCTTTCCAGCAGATCGGAAAAGCTTCTGCACAATCCACAGCACAGGCTATTTGAAAAGCTGGCCACCCACAAAGATGGGGCTGGACGAAGACAATGAGCCAGACAATGAGGGGTGTAATCTCAGCTGCCTCGTCGCAATTGGACGACTGCATTCTCACGTGGTCCCACAACCGGTGAATGGGGAAATCAGGGTGAAATCTATGGAATATGTTTCTCGGCACGCGATAGATGGGAAGTTTGTTTTTGTAGATCAGAGGTAAGAGTCTTCATGTTTCCCTTGAACAATGATGATAGAGGATTCTCAGCCCTGTAAAGCAGAGAAGACTGGGCCATCAGCTGGCTTGCCTAAGTATAGAGAAAGAGAGTTTCCAATTATAAAATAATCATGGAGATGAAAGAGCAGTGTAGGAAATATTAGTAATATTGTAATATCTTTGTATGGTGACTGATGGTAACTACACTTATCATGGTGAACATTTAGTAACATATGTAACTGTCAAATCACTATATTGTATACCTGAATCCAATATATTGTTTGTCAACTATACTTCAATTAACAAAAGAGAGAGAGAAGTAGGTAATGGGAATCTGTACTAAAAAATGAGACCCATAAGAAGATGATCATAAATACAGGGATTTTCTCTATCATTCTTTGGTAATGTAGAGACAATTAAGTAGGGTGGCTTCATGTCCATGGCCAAAAGAAAAATAGCAGGCATAGCATGCTGAGTATATAGAATGTTCCAGGACCATTACTGTGATTGGAATTCTGGCTCTAGGACTTAAATTCCTATAAGAATTTAGGAATATCTAGTCCCAAGCTGCCCAATGCAGTATTCATTGGCTATGGTACTCTCATATGGCTATTCAGTTTTAACTTAATATAAGTTAAAAATTCAATTCCTCAGGGTCACTTGCCACATTTCAAGTACTCAATAGCACATGTGGCTAATGACATAAATACAGGACATTTCCATCATACCAGGAAGTTCTGTTGGACAGCACTTCTAGCCCAATCTCATTTTTTATGGATGGGGAACTGAGGCCTGGCCTGGAACTGGCCTCCTCCAGGACTCACAACTGATTGGTAGTAGACCTGAGCTAAAAACCCAGATGCCCCAAGTTCTCCCCTGCTCTCTACTTTCTTCTTAAGAATATTCAGAGTCCAGTAGTTTTTCTTGCTATTAGAAATAGTCACTAAATGCTAGAAAAGGAGACAGCCATTTTTCAAGGCCCTCACAGCCCCCACTGCTGGAGCGTTTGGTGTTCAGTTATCCTGATAAGTAGTAGGCAGTGAAACGCAAGTTTTGCACTGGGGTTTAGATTCTACCACATTTTTATATAGCTAATATAGTTACCATTTTTAAACCTAAAATTTGAGTTCTTGTGATAACAGCCCCTTTGGAAGGCATCTTTGCTATGTTTCTATGTAGCTTTGGTTAATTTTTTTTGCATTAAAAAAAAAAATCCACATAGTAAGGCCTCTGAAAATCACCCAGCTTTGGCCTTGTTCTCAATGGCTGTAATGGGGTTTATCCAGCACAGAGATGCAGTTGTCTGAATGGCTTTTTCTTTTTTAAATAATTCCCTTCTAGAGCAACAGCTATTTTGGCATATTTACCACAAGAACTTCTAGGTACATCATGTTATGAATATTTTCACCAAGATGACATAGGACATCTTGCAGAATGTCATAGGCAAGGTAAGCTGGGCTGTACAAAAGGTCTTAAATTTAAAGTATCCCCTGCTTCTAGGCTAGTGAAATCTGCCCCCTAGTGATGTGGGAGTCAGCCAGCACAGGTCTTCAGGCCCAGACATCTGTGAGGAGGCTACTGCTCCCAGGCCCTATTCATCCTCTTACAGGTAAACCTTTAGAAAACCGGTACAGGCAGTTTTCTTTCTGTACACAGGCCAGGGCAATTTCTGGAAAGCACCTTTTGTTCAGAGGATTTACCTGGAACCTATAAAGATTTAGTATGGCCCAAACAGATGTAATTCTCTTTTCCATAAAATCCTACACTGCCTCCTGTGTTTTCCTCCTGACCAAGGGCACAGTCCTGAGAAGGAAACCAACACCGACCCCTTCCTTTACTTCATTGTCCCCAAGATCCTGTTCATTCACCTCAGACGTGATATTTCCAAAGCAGCCCCTTTTGGCCACCTCCACTGACACACCCCTGCGTCGGGCCCTCGTGCCTAATAACTGTGATAGTCTCCTAGCAGGCCTCTCTGCTCCTCCGTGATCCAAGTCCATCTTCCATAGTTATCCCATCTCTGCTCAAAACCTCCAGACTTTAGACTCGAGCCCACATGCCTTCGATAGGTGCTCAGGACCCTCTGCCTCCTGGCTCTGACCCACCTGCTCAGCTTCACCCCTCCTCCGTGCCTGCAGAGGCCCTGTGCTGTGGCCACTCTGACCACCTCACCACTCCGCTCACCCACTACCCCCACCCCACCCGAGGCCCCGCCAACTCCTCAGTAACTGCTGGGTTCTTCCCTCTTTTCTTTTGGCAAACTTGTGTCCATCCCTCAAGGCTCTGATGTCTTGGTCTTCATAGCTGCCTCTCATTCTCCTGAGGGCAGGGGTCACATCCTGTCTCCTCTTTGATCTTCAGTGCCTGGAACATGAAAGGGCACGTGTTTGTTGCATAAAAGAATGAGGTTTGAATAGGTGAGTGGGACATCTCTGGATTTGGATGTCCTAAAAGTGCTGTACTACTCTCAGGCTTTGTGATGGAGAAGGAACATAGGCACTTTTGGACGGTGCCTTCTCATTTACTGGTGTTCACTTCAATGCTGATTCCGGTTAGAAGTCTACCCTGCAGTCAGTTATTCCCTAGAGCCTTCATTTCACTCTGAAAAATAATGGCAGGTTCACAGATGAATTGAAAGGCTCTGAATTAGACTCTGAGACACAGCCTATTCTCTGAAGCGCCCGTTCCCTTGGCTTATTAAAGAGTGATGGCATAGGAGCCTGAACACGCTTTAGGAGTTGGTTAGCTTAATATATTAGTCTGAATAAACAAAAATGTTCATAGTTTCTTTGCATTTTCAGTTTTACAGACGAGAGAAAAGATTACAACTAACTGCTATAAGTTTAAAATCAAAGATGGCTCTTTCATCACACTACGAAGTCGGTGGTTCAGTTTCATGAACCCATGGACCAAGGAAGTAGAATACATTGTCTCAACCAACACTGTTGTTTTGTAAGTGTTTTTCCTGCATCAGGAGCTCCTTTGCTTCAAAGAGAAATGCCTTGGGCTCCTTCCCTGGGAAAGGGGGTACAGGCAACAGCAGTGTCATATCCTTTAGTGTCACCTTGTTAATAATCCTGTGAATCCTCAGGATTGGTGGAAGCCAAAAGGTTGTTCTCAAAGGACAAGATTCAGTACTCATATCACGCAGGCTCCAGCTTGTGGAATTGCTCCAGGAAACAGCACCATTTCCTTCCCAGTAAAGCAATCAACCTTTGAATCTTACAGTCCCTGCATACTGGGCATGCATGGGTCCTGCAGTGGAGGGAAGGGTTGACAATCCATTAAAGGTTCACACTGGCCTTGGCTGAAGATGGGGGGTTGTCCATGCCCACCAGGCTAGTGGCCTGAGCACTGGCAGCTAGAATGTTTTCTGAAAGGTTGCTACCTGCTAGGTGAGCAGGGAAGGGAAGGATCCCCTCTTTGGCCAGGCCTGCTCCCCACATCTCCTCCCCCATGGTGTCCAAAGTCCCACCTGTGGCTGAGTTGAGTGAGGGGCTAGGGCTGGGTGCACCACAGACTGGCAGAAGAGGAGGCCTTGTAGCAGTGGGCTGCTGTGGTCCCCACCTCTGCTGGACTGCGCCCCACATGATCAGGAAGGTCCAGCCAGGCAGTGAGGCCAGAGGCTGGGATGCCATGCATCATGTTACCAAACAGTAAGGAGACCCATTGAGCCACTCAGACAGACACTTCATTTTCTGGCCTGTCCAGGTCCAGAGTAGATACCAGACACCTTGGCCAAGGTGAAAGGTGCTCAGTTCTGAGCAGGCCTGACTCACGTTTCCTTATTGCTGGGATGTTCACAGAGCCAACGTCCTGGAAGGCGGGGACCCAACCTTCCCGCAGCTCACAGCATCCCCCCACAGCATGGACAGCATGCTGCCCTCTGGAGAAGGTAACTATGTCCTGCAGGGGCATTGGGACTTGCCCAGGAGGACATACTCTCCCCCAGCCACCACATTCTGTGAGACCGGGGAGGCCTCAAGGGAATGAGTACTAAAGATGCCAGGGTCTCAGTTTCTCTGTTAAGCCTGGAATACTGGGAGCTCATTTTTGCCTCTCCTGAGGCTGCCTGGACCTACATACTCTCCCCCAGCCACCACATTCTGTGAGACCGGGGAGGCCTCAAGGGAATGAGTACTAAAGATGCCAGGGTCTCAGTTTCTCTGTTAAGCCTGGAATACTGGGAGCTCATTTTTGCCTCTTCTGAGGCTGCCTGGACCCTGGAAGCCCTTGAAATATAAAATTCCTTGCTCCTCTTTGTTTTCTTCCCTCTGTGTTGCCCAGTGGCTGTGATGTAAAGTGCTATTTGGGGACTGCCGCTGCCTCCTGTGGTGGGAGGAGGGTGTCTGTCAGCACTGGGCTGTGTGCCATACCCAGCGCAGCTCCCTCTGGGCTCAGCCTTGGACCCAGCTCTCTGCACTTGACCCGTCCTTCCTCAGGACCGCCTCTGCTTGCATGGCTTCAGCCCCTACCTCTCTCCATCAATGACTCCTACCTACATCCAGTCTCTCTCTGGAGCTCCAGATCTCTCTCCAACTGCCTAGACAGAACCACCTAGAGTTCAAAAGGCACCTGAAATTCAGCATCTCCAAACCAATTCTCTGCTCTCCCACATCTGGGTGGTTAAGCCGGAAGCCTGACTCCTACCTCTCTCCCATTACATCTAAACATGAAATCCTGTCCCTTCTCTCTTTAACCTCTCCGTCGCCACTGTTACCTTGCCCTCCTCATTGTTGCCTGGATTACTGCAGATAGCTTTCTAACCCTAGCTCATTCTTCCCCCTCCCACCTTCATGCCCCCCTCGAGTTCCTTCTCCATGCGGTGGACTCTCTAAACCCAACACTAAGTCAGTGTCTTTTTTATGTAAAGTTCTCTGTGCTCCTTAACCCCCTGTGGGTACTGCCCAAGTCTGTTAGTACCCAGGGCCTTCATGATGTGAGTGGTTCTGCCTTTCCATTTCCATCTGTCACTCCACCATCATTCATGATGAATTTCTTGGAGTAGTCTCCCAAGTTTCGTCCTGCCTCAGCGCTCTTGCATATATTGGTTGCTGTGCCTGGAATGCATTCCCCTCCTTACCTCTTCGCCAAGCTCATTTATACTCCTCTCTCAGACTGAGCTCAAGGTTAAATTTTGTCAAAAAGTTGCCCCTGGCCCTGGATGAGTTGGGTGCTTTGTGCTTACCTGTCAAGCTTACCATGCTTTGCTATAGACATTGTTCATCTTATCTGTCTCCCTGTTAAGACCGTGAGCTCCTTGGGGGTAGGGGTGATGACTTATCTCTGTGACTCTGGATTGAAGCACAGTGGTATTTGGGAAACACACATTGAGTGTGTGAGGGGAATTAGGTATGTCAGGTCAAAGATTTATCCTCTGGTCCTGGAAGGAAACTTTAGCCTTTTCCTGCTGGAATGGCTCTTCCTGACAAGCTATGGCTCTAATGTTCCCTTAAGGCACAACCCTCAGGTTGAACTTCAAGTGGATCATGGGATGAACTGGTTTTAACATATAATGGTATTTCTTCCTTGGTTTTCCCCTTTCCCACTCTCAGATTCCTTTGTTGTAGGTGGCCCAAAGAGGACCCACCCTACTGTTCCAGGGATTCCAGGGGGAACCAGGGCTGGGGCAGGAAAAATAGGTCGAATGATTGCTGAGGAAATCATGGAAATCCACAGGTAAGTAACTATAATGGTATTTCTTCCTTGGTTTTCCCCTTTCCCACTCTCAGATTCCTTTGTTGTAGGTGGCCCAAAGAGGACCCACCCTACTGTTCCAGGGATTCCAGGGGGAACCAGGGCTGGGGCAGGAAAAATAGGTCGAATGATTGCTGAGGAAATCATGGAAATCCACAGGTAAGTAACACCTTCTGGTTGCTCCCTTAAACAAGTGGTTCTCAAACCAGAGCATTTTACCCCCTAAGGGATATTCTGTAATGTTGAGACATTTTTGGTTGTCATAATTGGATGGGAGCTGGCTGCTAAAAATCCAATTCCAATGGATAGAGACTAGGGAAGCTATGGGATAAACACCCTACAGTACACAGCCTCCTCCCTGCCCCCAGCAGAGAACTTTCCAGTCTAAAATAGCAATAGTGATCAGTTTGAGAAATCTTGTCTTAAATAAAGATGCTCAACCCAAACAGGCCAGGGCTAAAGGGAACTCTTTGGAGGCTCCACTTTCTTACTACTTTGTGTATACGTCAAGGAGCTTCCCAGTGAGGATGGATGAACACTAGCATTGCAGGAATGCAGGAGTAAAGCTGTGAACTGCCAGAGAGATCTGGGCCTTCACAGAACATTAGTTTCTTCCATCACAAAGCTGCTAGGATTAATAATAGAGACCACCCATTATCAGCTAGTAACAGCAGCTCTCTTGGGCGGGACTTCTTTTCCATATGAAAGAGAAGGGAAGCAGTTCACCACAGTTTGAGTCCTGGGCCTCTCCTTGGCTCTGTTTAGGAGATTCACTTAACTTCTTGGTCTCTGTTGACGTAAAACATAAAAGGTAGGCAGTTATCTATATCCCAAGGGTTGCTTTAAGATTGTGAGAGAACTCAGGAAAATTCCCAGAACAGAAACTGACCATACAGAGAGTGCTCAAAAGTTATTACATCTAAGTCTTTAAGAGCAGTCATTGAGAGAGAAGCAATTATTGTAGGTCCCTTTGAATTTGTGCAACAGAGAGGGTGATAACCAGATACTTAGGAATGCGTAGAGTTTGCTTAATAACCCAGGAATGAGGCCTCTCCTACAGTGAATATTCTGTCCAAAAGAGAAATCAGGAATTTAAGGACATACATTGAAGAAATAAGTAATGATGAAAAGGCAATTCTTAGATGGAGAACCTGGGAAAATAGTGGTTTCATAAACATAAGTAGGGAAAGGTGGGAGACATTCAGTAATTTTTCAGTAAGCAGTTAATCTGTGTGCTAAGAGTATATGGTGCCTAATTGTATCCTGCCTTCAAAGAGCTTGTGATCCAGGATAGAAAACTTACTCACAGATCCACAGAACTAGGCAGTAGAGGGCAAGGGCCAAAAGACTGCTGGGCAGTGGAGGGTCCCCTGGGTGACCGAAAAGCTACCTTTTCATCCATTTTGGAGCTGAGAGCCTGGTGGTCACACCGCTACAATACTCTCCCTAGACTCCAGATATCAGTGTCAGGCTTCCTTTCCTGAGGTCCCTGAGCCTGACAAGTTTGTGTGGATTTGTTTCTAAGTCATTCCTTCTGTAAACTTACTATGCTGAGAAAGGCACTAACTGAAAAGGCCTGGACCCATTGTTTCTCACCTGTTGCCTTAGACAACTGCTTCCTAACCCTGGTCTCATTCTCCCCTCTCCCTATGGGCACTGTTGCTCCTGCAAGGCCACTCTAGGTGGGGCTGAGCCCCAGCACTTCCCATTGCCTGAGTATTCACCATCTAAAATGTGTTGTAGGGACGAGGATACAGAGCTTGCTGTGAATTCTAGTTTACGGCATCAAAGACAGAGTTTGAACTCCTAAAGTCCCCTCCAACTCTGAGATCTAATTTCTGTGAGGAAATAAAACTGGCCACTTACTTGAAATTCATCAACCTGAAATCCAGACCCTAATTCAAGGGCTTTGTCAGTGTGGTACTTGACCCCAGGGTCTGCATTCTACATCAGGTACTTCTACGGTAAATCCAGCTTATCACTTGTTTTTGCAAATACATTACATTTTTACTGGAACACAACTACACCCATTCATTTATATATTGTCTATGGCTGCTTTCAAGTTACAATTGCTGTGACAGAGACCACATAGCCTACAGAGCCTGAAATCGTTACTATCCGGCCCTTTACAGGAAAAGCCAATCCTATTCTAGATCTTCATCCTTCTCACCCTGACCCCTCAACAAAACACACACACTCCATTGAAAACAAGGCAGGCAATATAACTAACTCCTCTTTTCTCTGACAGAATAAGAGGGTCATCACCTTCCAGCTGTGGCTCCAGCCCACTGAACATCACAAGCACACCTCCCCCTGATGCCTCTTCTCCGGGAGGCAAGAAGGTAAGGCTGCTGCCTCTTAGACAAAGGCCCTTCTTAATCTAGACAGCCTCCTGCCCAAGTTCTGAAATGTTGGGGGTGGGAGTATATAATTACCGTTGTGGTTGCTGAAACAAGTTGGATCCTTTTTCCCTCCTTAGGGTAAATGCACCTCTGTGAGTCTAGGTACAAAACATACCAGTGGAGCTAGAGAGGCTTGCTGACATCCTTAGAGGATTTATTCCATGTGAGTGAGTAGGTGAAGGCAGAAAGATCATTCTTAGGAATGGGGAATTACCACTCTATTGCATTAAGGGGCTCCCATGAGGGAAGGATTAGTGAATACCTCACACAGAAAACTGTCCAGTTCTATGCCAGGAGTTTTCAATGGAGGAAACATCATTGATGTTAGTGCAGCTCCAGAAACAGTCATACAGAAGTGATGTTTTGCAAGGCAACCTGGGCTTTTGCTGCTGCAGAAACCTGGGCATCCAGCACCTGTGTTTTGATAGCATTGGGTACAACTGGCTTGTCAGTCAACAGCCCTCATGAAGGGCTGGCTAGAGGACTACATACATCACAAATAGGCTTAGAAACCTCTCATCTGTTTTCATCTTTGCCAGAGAATTTGTAAGTCTAGTTAATTGTAAGTCGTAGATCTATTTACAGATCCGGGTGTAAATATAGGTTAGGATGACCCCAGGGCCAGCATCTTTGATCAGTCACCCCTTTCCCCAAACATTAGTAATTCACATAAATGAGGCTTCTAGGGCACAAGCTGTATCAGAAATAGGACCTCAGAGGCTCAGGTTACCAGGAGCTGCAGTGGTGCCAGTGGGATGGGGGTGGGGGACAGTTAGTAAGGGGAGGGTAAAGTCAGGATCCCTGCTTCTACCAGGGCACCTTCACTTCTGTTTTATGTGAATCTTCTGTAATTTCTATTAGAAAAAACGTTTTGCTCCCCACAAAGAGGTTTGAAAGTCAAATTAATGGGTAAGAGCACCGTCAATGCAAGATAGACCTGGGTTTGAAGCCTGGATTTGCCATTTGCCTGCTTTGTGGCCCAGTATGATTTTTAAGTCCTAGTTTTCTCTATAATGAGGTTAATATAGGTTAGGACAGCCAATATCTTTGCACATGAAGTCCTATTATAAGATGGTATGTGTAAAAGTACCTGACCTTTAGTAACAACTTAGAAAATAGCACTGATAAAATCTGGGCAATGTATACCCCTCACCCTGCTTGCAGTCCCTGCTGTTCTATTACACCCCTAGTTCCTTCACCATCTCCTTAGAGTTGTCTCCCCTTTCCTGTTCTCGATTCAACTTTTATGCACTTGACTTGCTGGTATTACCAAGAATCCCACTACTCTGTTTTGAAAGGTTATCATTCCAGTATAGTGCTTAAATATTACTCAGGAAACTTTAATATACGCTCTCTTATCTTACCCTCACAAGTTTATATGACAAAATCCAGGCTCCCTCATGTTAAATGAGTAGCCCAACATTTGTTCCTAAGTATGGCTCCAAACTAAATTCATATCTCATGACTTCCAATTCTTCCCACACCAACAACAGCCAGAGATCTAAAAGTATACACTGCATCACAAAGCCCTGAGTATTTTTGAGGCACTCAGGGAAAAATTTTCCTTCAGGCTTATAAAAATGGGTCTAGGAGAAGAGATTCTGAGTGTATTCTGAGTCCCCAGCAGCAGGACTTTGACAGAGAAGCCTAAACAAGATGGAGTTAAAAATGACGGCAGCATTAAATAGTATACCAGAGCCGTAAGAGTAAAGGTGGCCCCATGCTTCAACCTTTCCCAGTCACTCAATGTGGTATGTCCAAAAAATGAGTTGTTTACCTGCTAGTTGTTTCAGTCAGGGCCAAGCTAAAAAAGGGAGGCTGTTGAGTCTCATAGGTTTCAAGAGAGTCCTGGCATCCAGAAGCACTAAGGAAAGTTCAGATAAAGTAGCAGTTCTGTACATGTCATCTGTGGTCTTTTGGGGGAGTGGGGTGGGCAAGATCCTTTCAGGTAAGTGTCTGGAAGATCAAAACTATTTTCATAATAATGCTAAAACATTTTCTTCACAGTGTTGATAAGTGAACTGAGCAATGTTGGGTAAAACCGGTCTTTTACAAAAATCAGGGCAATAGCACCAAACTACTCACAGTCACTGCTTTTCTCATCACCATATACTCTCAATGAAAAATAATAAAATTTAAAGCCACTTTAAGAATGTCCTTAATGAAGCAGTAAATTACTTTTACAAAAGCCTTGAGTAATATTTTTAATAGTTACAAAATGCTTAGGTATGTGGAAAGCACTGCAGACAGACTGCTGCCTCAAGGAAAAGCACTTGTGTCATTAAGTTAGGAGCTCAAATAACCTCTTTTCTCATAGGACACCATTTTTACTATTGCAAACTATGGTTATTCCAATTTGGGTATTTAGCATACATCTTCTTGAAAATGATGAACCTGTGACTTTTAAGGGAAACAGTCGACAGTACTTGTTGCCTTCTGGGCAAAAATTAGAATTTTTGGAAAACTTGTATCTTCTCTTAGCTCAACAGCTTCCTAAAACGTAAAAGATACTTCTGATGATATAGGTAATACTAGCAATGGTGATGTTTTGATGTTGTACAGTGAAATATGTCAACATTTAGAAGGTCAGCATAACTTAGTGAACAAATTTTCCAAATGGCCAGGGCAAGATAGTTTCAATCATGCAAAAGTAAAAGATCCATCCTAAGTGCCAAGATATAATAATGGATTTTAAGAGTACAAAATTTTATTGATATGGTTTCAGATTCCACAATGCAATTAATCTTTTAAGGAACTGCGACTTGTTGAGTTTCCATGTAATATCAAAGAATACCATGATTATTTGAAAAGGCTATTTATTAAGACACACCTCCCTATTCCAACTACATTATCTATGGGAGGCCAGATTTCCTTCATAATACTTCAGCCAAACAACAAATCTAAATAGACTGAATGGAGAAGCAAATGAGAATCCAGTTAGATTCTATTAAGACAGACATTCAATTTGCAAAATATGTAAAATACTTTTCACTTTGTTTTAGAAGTTATTTTTCATTAAAATGCTATTTGTGTTAACATGTAATAGGTTTATTATTTTTAAAAACTTACTAGTTTTAACTATGAATATAGTAAATATTGGTAAATATAGCCTACACAAATGAAAGATCTTTGGAGTTCTCATTTATTAGAGAGTAGAGGTTCCTATACCAAAAAGTTGAACTGCAGAGACAAAGTTATAATGCCACCTACTGGCAAGGCCTGAAATCACTCTCTCTCCTAAAATGCAAGCTGCTACCAAACTGTTTCCTCACCTACATCAGGACTTCTCAAACATGCTTTTCTGTAATGAGACTAAGCAAGGAAAAGGAAGCTTAGAGGTGAGGGGGGTGCAAAAAGGGTTACAAAAAAATTAAGAGTTCTACTATTGACAAGTGGTAGTAATACTTCTCAGTGATCTAAATGTAAACCACTGGTTCTGAAGTTGGCATTTATAGAACCAGGGATGAGATTTACTTTGTGCTTTGTTGTTCATTTGTGACTCAGCTGTGTCTCTTCAGTTTAACCCCTTATTTCTTCTTCAGCAACATCTGTTGCTTTAAGAAGTTTTATTACTTTATGTGGGAACTGCCCATCTGAGCTCACTGAGGTTTAGTCCTTGCCTTAAACACGTGAACAGCATGATCCAAGGTAATTAAATGCTCTATGGATTTTATTCAGCCTTTAAATTGCATGGGTTGAATGCAATGAAAAGAGACGACTAGTTTGGGGAAGTTTTTTCTTACTGTGACCATTCCTAATAGCTAGTTGGAGAAAACTGAAGCCATTTGAAGCTTTTTTCACCTACCGTCCTCTTTTCAACTTGCTTCATTTTCTTGGTGACATTTGCATGACACTGATTCAAACTGTTGATGTGAAAACTTCACTTTTGTTTGTAGATTTTAAATGGAGGGACTCCAGACATTCCTTCCAGTGGCCTACTATCAGGGCAGGCTCAGGAGAACCCAGGTTATCCATATTCTGATAGTTCTTCTATTCTTGGTAAGTAGCATTATTATTCATTTCCATTTCAGTGAGCTTGAAAAACATCTGGCATAAAGTTTTAAGAAACAAATGTATAAAATAAGCTAGTTCTAGATAAATTTGATAAGAACAAAGCTTTGTTTAAATCTTTACTTCAAAGTTGAGTTTAGTGGCTGAGTTCTGGTGGTGGGGTCCAAGTGTTTCCCTGGAACTCAGGAGATTATAGCAGCCTAGGCAAGCTTTCTCCCACCATGTGGGACTCTTCAGAGGGAGAGCATTATTACATTATTACTGATGAAGGTGCAGAAATAAAGCCTAGAAAGGTGATCAATAAGCATTTCAGAGAGTATTAAAAGTCAGTAAGCAATGAAAAGTTTGCTTCTCCCTTCCCACCCATCTTTTTCTCTACTTGTCTTTCTAGATCTTTTTTTACTAATCTCTATCTTCCAAATTTTCTTTCCTTCTTAACACCTTATATAACTGGGTATATCAGAATATTAAAATGAGGTCAACTCAAATGCTTTTCGTCTTTACTGAAGTTTAAGTATTTTGTTTCTAAAAATTGGTTCTTCTCTCTGAAAAACACCAAAGTTAAGAAAAAAATGGCAATGCAGCCCAAAACCAGCCTCTCTTACCCTTCTTACCCTACTATTAATTATAATTTTCATATTAAATATGTTGTGGTATGATCACTGACCAGTTTTTAATCTCCCACAGGTGAGAACCCTCACATAGGCATAGACATGATAGACAACGATCAAGGCTCAAGTAGTCCCAGTAATGATGAAGCAGCAATGGCTGTCATAATGAGCCTCTTGGAAGCAGATGCTGGCCTGGGTGGCCCTGTTGACTTTAGCGACTTGCCATGGCCGCTGTAAACTACATGTTGCTTTAGCAACAGCTACAGTATCAAAGTGCATTACTGGTGGAGTTTTACAGTCTGTGAAGCTTACTGGATAAGGAGAGAACGGCTTTTATGTACTGTCTTCATAAAAGCAATCTCAGAGCCATTGATACAAGTCAATCTTACTATGTGTAACGTCAAAGTGGAACTAAGCCTGCTCCAGTGTTTCCTCATCATTGATTGGGCTAGCTGTGGATAGCTTGCATTAATTGTATATTTTGGATTCTGTTTGTGTTGAATTTTTTAATCATTGTGCACAGAAGCATCATTGGTAGCTTTTATATGCAAATGGTCATTTCAGATGTATGGTGTTTTTACACTACAAAGAAGTCCCCCATGTGGATATTTCTTATACTAATTGTATCATAAAGCTGTTTATTCTTCCTTGTAAGAATCCTTTACTATAAATATGGGTTAAACTATAATGTATTAGTTAAATATTTTTAATAAATGTTTCCCTTGTTCTATAAATGCTGTTCACATTTCAAACAATTAGAAAAAAATCTTATGTGTTCTGTGGGGTGCCAGATAGATTTTCTATAGTGAGTGTTTAAGGGCCATCCATCCCAATAGCATTTATTATAATGCCTTTGTGGCCTTCATAACAATTCTGGGACTTACATGACTTCCCGTGTTACTAGCTTAGCTATATTGTTAAAATAGTTAAAAGTGCAACAATTTGGAGAGACACTGCTGCTTAAACACAAATTTCAAATCCTCTGAAATTATAGTTTCAAGACTAGCTGCACCAAACTGGCTTCACTACCACTCACAGCTGTATGGCTTCACACATTTAAGCCATATGACTCCAGACCCAAAGCACCTAAATACTTCTGTGGTCCAATTCAAGAAAGAATCATAATATTAGAAAACAGCATTTGCATGAATAATTTAGTAAGCAGAACAGTGTGATATAATGGGGAAAGCACTGAACTGGTGTTAGAAATTGGCTCTGAAACTTGAGGTTACTATATATAACCTAGTAAAAGTATTTTGCCCTTCATGTCAGGTTGGACTAGAAAATGTTCCTTTCAGCTTTAACACTGTTTTGGATTTATAGTATATTTTATAATTAGTGGGGAATATAAGTGCACACATATACCAAATTAGAGTTCCCTGAGCTACTATTTGGTTTCTAGTTACTGACACCAACAAGAATAGGAAATCGAATTATGAGACCAAAAATCTGGTCAAGGTGGTTATAAAGGTGATCAGAATCATTAAAACAATGGAATTTTATTTTGATGAAAAACTTGTTTACAATCATTTAGTAAATGAAGAGCAACACTTCATTTTCCTATCCCATAACTTGTAAGAAAAAAAGCATTAGTAAATAAATATCTGTGAACAGATTAAGGGTAAGGCAGACTGGATAATAAACCAACTCTGATGTTCACACTCCCTGCATGTGACACATTCTAAAAAGGTGAAAATGGCACTGCAGGGAACCAATAAGGTACAGGCATTGAATCTCATCCTAATCATTCAAATAAGCCCAGTGATAAAAATTCATTTTTCTGCTCATCTTGGGCAGCAAACTATACACAATTTACCAAAGGAAAATTTTGATAGAAGCACTTACTTAAGTTATATTGCGCATCACAACTATAAAAATGGCTTGAACAGTTCCATTTAACCACCATTTATAAAGTGCGACTATATAATACTCTACATTTTATCTGGGGTGTCATGAATGTCAATCTAGACTGAAAATACCCCAGCTGCCAATTTCCACCACTTCTGAAAAGATCTAGATGTGTGAAAAAGAACTGTCCCCCATACAAAGAACCAATTTCACAAACCTACTGGTAAACAAAGACATTTATGTAACTGGAACCTCAGGATGGCAGAGTTGTACTCTCTTAAAAAACCATTCAGCTACCTTTGGTCTTTAAAAAAGCCTACACTGTAATTACTAAACACTGTTATGTGCATCTCACAGTGAGGAGAGCGGCCTGCAGTGCAGAATGAGGAGAGCGCAACATCACTGTGAAAAGTAGCATGCTATGGTTTCCAGGAACGTCGACGTCACAGCATTGGGTTCTGGGCATCAGGGTCGAGGTCATTACTGCCAGAAGGGGGATGGACAGGGAGAATATCCAGCTCATCCACTTGTGGAGTGGGGTGCATGACTACCAGCTGGTCCTGAGGAATGTCAGCGGCAGCTGCTGCAAGATTGGTGATAGATTTACTCTTTACACATTGAAAGTCTACGTGCCGACTCTTTCCTTCTTCCTTCTCCCAGGACATTCGAATAAAGGGTCTTTGGACATAATTGTAAATCACTTCTGGGCGGCCCCCAGGCCTTTTCTTTACTTTTTCTTTGTAGGTAGGATAACCTGGAGGAGAGAAAGATTTTAAAAACTAAGGACACACATGCACATGCACACATGCAGCATGTCCCCACAGCACTTCTCACCCAGTTTAAGCCTAAAGATGGCTTTTCTGCTGTAACTCCTGAACGCACAAAATGAAGAAGGGAAATCAATATTCCATCTCCTCAGTCATCAGTTCAACAGCCAGAAACTGAAATCCTACTGATGGAATTCACGGATCCTTCCACCATCCTCTCAGCTACTCAGTACAACAACTACCCAGAAAAATATCATTAAAGTCAAACCAAGGAGAGAATAGGTCCCAAATGGAATGGGACCTAATGGGATGTAATTCATGTATCTTGAGCTCTAGCTATGTATCCTTAACATCTCTGAATTCTTCCCTTCACAGGATTATCTGGCCTCAAGGCCTACAATTTATTGTCACATTAGCCTTCTATTTTCCTTAAACCTAAATCTCATGTTCACATTGCTCTTGGGTTTTTTCTTTCTTTTGTTAAATGACAAAAAGTTATAGAGATCTCCAGCTTCACTGGTTCTAAAAGTACTTCTGCACCTAGGTTAGTAAAAGCAGTATTTTATTCCCTATCTCATTTAACATTACTACTATAACCACCGAGCAGCTTATTCAGATTGGCAATTCCAAAGCAACTTTGGCTGATTAATTATACCTTCCTCCTCTTGGATCATAATCACTGCGAAGTAACAATTAAACTATTTCCTAGTTTCAGAAAAATTTCAGTCATTTACCAGTAAGGCAATTTCTCCAAAGACATATTCCCCTTAGAAACTATAAGTCTCTTCCCTGCTTCGAGCTAGCAAGAATTGCTAGTTTAGACCAGGGATTGACAAACATTTCCTGTAAAGGGCCAGACAGTGAGTATTTCAGGTTTATGGGCTATATGGTTTCTATCACTACTCAACTATGCCATTGTAAAGTGAAATTAGCTATAAACAATTCATAAATGAGTAAACATGTCTCTGTTTCAATAAAACTCTTTTAAAAAAGTAATGGGCTGCATTTGGCCTACAGGCCATAGTTAGACCATAGTTAGAACCAGAAAAAAATATTATAGCCCCTTTTTATGATTAATGGCATACGGGGATGAATGAGGTCATTTTTGGTAGCTAGTATTAGCCATGTGGGGAGTGCATGTGTATGTGATTAAGGTGAGAGGGGCACAGGGGCAAGTAGGGTTGAAAGCCCTCTAAAGACCGTCTGTAGAAAGCATTCTTTGTTTCACACGCCAGTTAATTACCATCTAAAGGGCAGCACTAGAGATCACAAGAGGTATCTATTCCCTTGTCCTTGATTCTTCTTGGACTATTAGAAAACCTTTAAATTTCTATCTCTTTATATTCCATTCTGTCCTCCAATCACCACTATAATGAAGTGTAATCTTATTGCATACTTACTTAAAAACTACCAATGGTTTCCTCACACTTAAAGGGGAGGGTCTGTACTCCTTAGCATACATATATAATACGAGGCTTTTTTACAACTTGGTTCCAACCTACCTGTCATCAGGCTTCAACTCAAATGTCTCCTCCTTAGGCCTTCCTGTCCGCCCAATCTAAAGTTGCTTCCAGCTGCCTTCTTCCTAGCTCTGAAACCAAATAGCTAAACCCCACTGTTTGCAAAATGGCAAGAAAGGGCATATACTGTTGAAGCTAATGTGTCAGCAATTCACTACTTTTTTAAGTCCAAAGTTTCCTCTCCTTCCTGCTAAATCTGTTTCTGGTCTTTCTTCCCCATATGTCTTAGCAGTCCTGTGACCTCCCAACAGCTCAACTGGTCATTGATGAACAACACTATTATCTTCATTATCACCATCACAAACATGGGAAATTACTATGTGCCAGGCCCTGTTTTAATTGCTTTCCATGTACTAACATTCTTTCCTCACAACAACCTGATAAGGCACTTAATGCTCCCATTTCAGAAGAGGAAAGTAAGGCACACAGAAGTAACTTGGCTGAGGTCTTAACATTAAACTATTAAGTCATAAGATTTGAACACATGCAATCTGGATCCAGAACCCTTAGTCTTGTCACTATGTTATGTCATGTTATGCCAAGAAAGATATTTTGTTCTTAGTAAGGGCACTTTAGAATAAAAGAGCATCTGGAAAAATTCATTTAAATCACAAAGTAAAAAGAAGCCTAAAAATGTATCATTTAAGTATAAGATAAAGTAAGTATGCAGTTTGTATTTAATTTGAAAATAAGCTTTTATCATACTTAAAGATACCAGTGAACTACTAGTACTGCTTTTACATGAATTTTCAGAATGTACTTTTTTAGCTCTGTTGGGTTTTGGGGAGCTCCAATGATAACTACGAGGCAAAGAACCCTATCTTACAGGGATGTACACACATGCATGCCCAAACACACTACATGGGATCAGTCAAAAAAGCATTAGGGTGAGCTATGGCAGAAAAGACAAATTCTTATCTCTACATTGCTAGGGAATCTTATGGAATAAATAATTTATAATGGCCTTCTATCTATCTTTCTCAGATAAAGGAAGCTGATTTTTGTTATTTATAGGTCTACTGCACAAGCATTCAATAATCATTTGAGCTTTTCAAAGTATTAAACTATACTCTAAATGGGATCCCATTTTTTAACCTTGTTTTTCAAAAGAAAACTAACAGAAAATAATGAAAATGACTTACCTTCTATTCCCAGTCTGATCTTCTTAAGACCCCTCTCCTTCAAAACTGATTTGGCCACATCTCTGTTTTCAATGTACTTGAAAAATCTATATAATTTTGTGCTATAAATAACTGGAAACAAAAAGACAAGAATATTTTCTTATTAAAATCAAAGTACTTGGAGATGAACTTAAATTTATTTTGATCATCAAAGAGGCTTGACAACCCTAAAAGCCCAAATACTGGATGCAGTGATGCCAAAGGGTGACTAGCCAACATAACAGGACAATTCAGTACAGTTAATGTATAAGCAAATGTCTACTTAAGTTGAAACAAGAAAAGCTTTAATAACGAATCAGGTAACCCAATCCATAGGAAGAAAAATCTCCTTCTGAAAGATATGTCATATACAAACTTAGTGGAATGGGACCTGCCCCAATTTCTTCAAGTAAGATAACTATCAATACTACATACATTATCAAGCAGGCAAAGTAAAGGACTTTGCTATGATGCCTTCAAGGCCTTGTCTGGAAGGGAAAAAACTGCCTTGTCAGAGAGTGCAAAATGGATACATCTTACATTTCATGGATTGAGCAACTATTAATAATTCCCCCAGAAAGCAAAGACCCTCCCCCAAAACTGTTTTCCATTCAGGCGAACAGCCCCATTTAATACTGATGTTAAAAACGGCAGATTCGAGCATGTTCTGCCTAGGTTAGTCTGTTTAGAGCAAACTGGCTTTGTAAAGGGCAGACATTCCACTGACAACATGTTGAGTCTTCCAAATGTGCTGGGAACTTCAGGGAGTTAGACTGATGGACCTTCCTCGCCTTCTCTCTTTCAGGTGGAGTTATCTCCCTTAAAAGGTGAACTGCAAAGGTTTTTTCAAAAAAAGAAAAACACACTCACAAACCAAACATGCCGGTTTAAGAGCCAATAAAAGGAAAATACGTATACAGATGCTACTACTCGTGGGGTAAATGTGTGATTATTAATATATCCTTATTATTACTGATATTTTAAGAAAAAAGATTTTTTGACATCTCAGAATGGATGTTGTCATATGTCACATTTAGGAAATCAGGAGGAAGAGGCTATCTGTTTTCTCAAGTGAATCTTCTTTAGGCTGAAGTATCTTGGCACAAAATGAAACATATTTAGACAAATTAAGTAAAATGTTTTCAAGTCCTTTAAGTTTCAAAGCTTAAGATAGAAAACAAACAAACCAAAACCACTCAAATGGAAAGCTCAACAACTAAAAAGGAAAAGCCAGCTCTACTATAATTTCTGTATCACTATAATGTCCTTTCTGTACTCGTATGGTTCGCTCTACTCTCTTGAAGTCAAACTTTTTGGAAACTAAACTACAAATTAAAAGTTTATTTATTACTCTTTATTGGTAGAAAATAATTTAGTATATTTCTTTTGATATTTGGTAACGTTCCATTTTTCCCATTTTGTTCAACTTGTTATTCTACATTTTATTATAGAAAACTGTAGTCAGCAACAAGCCTAGGAATGAAGAAATAACAAAACATCTATTACTGTAACTGTCCAAAGAATCAGAGCATTCATTTAAGTATATCATGCAAAGGAAACACCTCAATGTAAACTCTGAAAAGTGCTATTATCGCCTGTGTTAAAATAATCTTTTGAAAATCTTTAGAAGCCAAAAAGAATGCCACTTGGAATCTGCTTTGTTTTTAGACAATTATAAGTAAAATGGAAAAATTAAAGGATTTGGTACTTTCTATATTCCTGTACTTTTTACTTAAACCCTAATCCTTACCAAGTCAACACAGATTGGAGTATAAAACGATGCTGGGCTATTTTACCTAGTTATCTGAATCATCCTTTTAACTATTTCTCAATCTATGAAACTCCAAAAATACTGTGTGAGATTCATCAAGAAAAACAATACAAGATAAATTTTCTAACAAAAAAAATCAAAAGGTCTAGTCAGAAAAAGTTTGGAAGGGAAAAATACTTAGTCATTGCTACTCAAGATAATGTTGTTTTGGTCAGAAATGCTTAACTTTAGTTCCACAAAGCTTTCTAAAGGGTCATTATATCCTGCAGGAACACATATGATATTAAAAAAAGGAACTTCTGAGAACCTAAAGTCACCCTCAAAATTTAATGAGTTGAAACTTGTTTTATATACAAATAAAAATTCATCGAAAAAAACCCCAGCCTGTTTATCAATCGTCTACTTCTTCAGGATCTACTTTTCTAGAATGCTTCTTTCTAAACACAAAGGAAAAATCCATCAAGACCCAGATACTCAACAAGAGCAAACCATTTCTGTGCATGACAAGGGTGGGCACACTTTTTCTGTAAAGAGCCAGATAGTAAATACTTCAGGCTTTGCAAGCCATGCGGTCTCCATTGCAACTCTCAACTCTGCCATTATAGCACAAAAGCAGCCAGAGACAATACTAAAACTTCATCTGAAAAACAAGCGACAGCCTGGATTTGGCCCACAGGCCATAGTTTGCTGACTCCTGGTGTAGGTAACAGCTCAATGTACTTTCTTTATAAAAACAGTCCTTTGATCAATATTATAAAAGATAAAGAGACAATCTATGATAATTCAAGAGAGAGAAAACATGCCACAATACTTACTTTGTGAATACTCCTCTCCCATCTGCGGTGGATACTCCTCATCCCAATCAACCACATCATCGTCTGTAAGCACCACTATGTGGCATTCTCGTTCCCCACTCTGGGCACTAGCTACCATGAGAGGCAGGATCATTTCTTCCAGATAAAATTCAAACTGTCTACGAGCACCATCATTTGATAACTCATGCATTAGGGCACCTGAAATGAAACCCACAAAAGTATCTTGATTTTTTGGGTGACCAATAAGTAAAGTAGCAACACACAAACAAAACATCAGATTAGTTTGGATTTACTTTAGGATCCTAGAGACAACATAGAGGCTACTCTTTAGTCAACAAAACTTTTCCTAGGAAGAGATCTTATGGAACTGTAGGATCTTACAGCAATGAAGGCCAACTAAAGGCATCCAACACAAGCCTCACCATTTTACACACCATGAAGTAAACTGCCTACAGTTACAAACTAATTTGCAAAATCACAATTAAGTCTGTCCCTTAACCAGTCCCTAGCTCAGGGTTATATCAAATTGTCTTTCATCAATATATGCAATTATATCTTAAAGTATATCTTAAGAATATTTTTCATACTGTCCACATGAACTAAAATAGCTGCCATATTCCATCTCCCACATGTTTTCTTTCCCAGAATATTTACTCATAAGCAGCGTTAATAATGTAGTGTAGGAAAAGGAGCAGGACCAACTGGCTTTGGGATAAGGGGGACAAAAAGCCAAGCATAATACAGCATATACAGAATTACATAGCAGACCTGAACCTAGAATTAGGAGGTAAAAAATACACTTCACTTCACCCTTGAGTACAGACAAAATGAACAACTTTAAATTCCCAAATACACAGCCACAAACTCAATTGCGTTGACCTAATTTTTTTTCTCTTATTATTTCAATGGTAATGTCCTATCTCTTCTCTAAGGCTCTACCATCTCAAGAACTACTGGGTTAGAAAAGACAGTAGAACTCAAATCTACAGTCCCAAGGGGAGCTTATTTTCCCTACAACATGCTAATTATATAGTAATTATTAATAACATATGATTAGTAATATAGTAAATGATTGGTTAAATAATCAACAATCCATATCATTACTATTATTATTTAGCCATGTCTCTATAGGCTGGCTACTTTCCACTGTAATTTTTTAACTCCTTTCATATTCAAACTCCTAGATCTATCAACACATTCTCTTTCCCCTAACATCTAACTTCTAACATTTTCAATCTGGCTTCTACACTCCCTACTCAAAACTGCTCTGAATATAGTCTCCAAATGACCTTCTAATTGTTAAAGACAATGAACATTTTTTATCCTGATCTTATCAACCTCTCAATTGACTCTCTTATAAGGACTCCTACTTTTTCCTTAACACGTATCATCCCTAAGAATCTCTGACACCATTATCCCTGGTTTTCTTTTCTACAGCTGTTCTTCTTTGGTTACCTTTGCCAATTTTTTCTCCCCTTGCTGTTCATTAAATATTGATATTTCTCTGGAAGATGCTATTTTCCAAAAAGCTGCAAAATCTTACACTATACTTTTTTACTGCAATGTGACCTTGACACCTCCTCCCAAGATGTGGAGTCTAACTGCCCTCCCCTTTGACCTGGGGTGGTCATATTGACTTGGCTGATAACCAGAGAAGCATGGCAGAGGTGACAGTCCATGACTTGTGGCTTTGCCTTAGTTTTGGAGAATGCTCGCTTTCCAAATGCTTCCTCTGAACCCAGACTCCAGGCTTGGAGAAGCCCAAGATGCACGAAGAAGCCAAATGTAGGTACTCTTGTTAGCAGCCCTAGCTGAACCCAGCCTTTGAGTAATCCCAATTCAGTGAGCACACATGTAAGTAAAGAAGACTCCAGCCTTTTGAGTCACCACAGCCCTTCAATTCTTCAGAAAATGAGGCCTCAGGTATTGTTGAAGCAGACATAATCCACTTCTGCTGTAGTCTCAATTCTTCACCCACAGAAAAAAAAAATTATGCTACTAAATTTGGAATGGTTTGGTACATTGTAATAATAGTTAATCAGAATACCTACCCTCTCCATTGCCCCTACCATAATCCAAGTCAATGGTAATTCTTACCCAAATTACTAGAAAACCTTCTAATTATGTTCTCTCAACATTTACTTTTGCCCCTGTGTAGTTCATTCTCCCCACAACAGCCAAATCTAATTACATGTCTCCTCTAATTTAAACCTTTCATGGCTTGTACTATCTATCCTTAGAATAAAAATCCTAAATCCTCAAATTGGTCCAAAAAGCCCTATTATGTGAAAAAGGAAATTGTGGATCAGTATGTAATCCTTTAAAGAAAATATTTTCTTTAAATACTATCCATAAAAGAAAATATTTTCTTTAAATACTATCCATATACTGATAACTACTACAAATAAATATCTAGTCCACATTTCTCTCCTAATCTTTAGATATGTGTATGCAATGTCCCACTCAGAATTTCCACTTGGATGTCTTAACAGGTATTTCAAACTTGACATGTCCAAAATTAAGTTTCTAAGTTTCTACTCCCCATGAAGTCTCCCCCATCTCAATTAATGATTAAAGGCAACTCTACATTTACAGTTAACTAAAGTCCTCTACTCCCTTCCCTATCCCATATTCCATCAACAGCAAATCCTGACAACTTCACTCCAGAATTTGATCCCTTGTCACTGCTTCCAGGCTTATTAAGCCACAACCATCTCTTACTTGAATTAGAGCAATAGCCTCCTAATTATCTCTTTGCTTCTATCTTAATTCCCCTTCATCTTATACTCCTTGGGGGAAGACAGACAATAAACAAGGTAAACAAACAGCATATGAACAATTAACACTGGCATGCTAGGTAGTGCCAAGTGCTGAGGAGGGGGAAAAAGTAAGGACAAGGCATACAGCAGCCAGAGAAACATCTCCAATACAACAGCCAAGAGTGACTATTTTAAAGCCCAAGTCAGGTCAGAACCACACTGCACAACTCTATATTAAATTGTGTGTCAATGGTGCCCCCGTGACATGGTAAAATGTGGCAGCTTCACAGATCATACCACTCCTCTGTTCAAAACCTTCCAATGGCTTCCTATATCTATCATTCAGAGTAAAAGCCATGACAGGTCAGAGGATTAAAGATGGAGGCGTGAGAGGGGAGACAGAGGCTGCCTCCTAAAACCGCATATAATATGAAAATATAATTAATACAACTAATCCTAAAAGAGCAACAGGAAAGAGGGCTGTGCGAGACTGCATACACGTAGAGAAAAGAGCAGACTTCACAGAACAGGATAATGTACCAAAGCTGTGGCCCGGTACCAAGCCCTTCCCTCATCCCAGCTCACAGGCAAGAGGAAGAGAAACGGAGCAGGGAGGGAGTGGAAGGCTTGGGACTGCTGAATATCTAACTCCGGAAATCTGTTCTGGGAGCACAAACCAACATGTCATGGTGCACGTTATTCTCATGATTAGGGGGTTGGAAAGCTAAGACAGGAGGAATTCCTGGAGAGACTGAGATTCTAGCCACTTGTGGAAAGCTGGGATCCATATGCGGCTGCTCTGGGACAAAAGAAAGGCAGGCAGTCTGAGAGACTTCCTAACAAGGAAGCCCTTAGCAAGAGAGCTTCTAAAGGGGCAAGGATTGCACACAGCTTACTGCACAGGAGAAAGGACAGGGTAGACAAAATTGTCCAGGTGTACTCTGCCCAGCAGGTTGGAAGCTTTCACAATCTTCAGGTGCTCCAGCTCCCTGGCTGGCTACACAGCTCCAAGGACCCCCTCCGTGATACACAGCCTACTGGGCCTTTCTCCCAGCCAGCCCCACCTGGCTTGCAAACTGACAAACCCTACCCTGGCGTTAGGCCAGCCAGAGGGAAGATGTCTACAGCAACTACAAATGCAAAGCATAGATGCTTATACCTGTGTGCTCAGCCCTCTGGTTCAGGCAGTGGGGACAGGCATAGCAGCCGGGAAGCAGGAAACAGCTCTTTCCTCCCCCCAGGCACCAATCCCACTCCCCTGCAACCCCCGACATTGCTTCAGGGGCTGAGCAGCTCCAGAAAGCAGAGCTTCTGAACTCTAGAGGGTGCCATATACAAATATGAAACACTGAAGAAACCTGGTTCAAAGTAAAATTAATAATACGACCCCTGAGAAAGATTTAAATGACACTGACCTCATGAATCTTCCTGAAAGAGAGTTCAAAATAAAAATTATTAACATGATCATGGAGGGATGGAAAGATATTCAAGAACTCAGGAATGAATTCCGGTAGGAGATCCAATCATTGAAGAGCACAATGGAGGAAATTAAAAGCAGATGAGATATAGTGGAGGAGACGATAAATGAAACAGAAACTATAGAAGAGGAATACAAAGAAGCTGAGGCACAGAAAAAAGGATCTCAAAGAATGAAATAATAGTGAGAGAACTGCGTGACCAATCGAAACAGAACAATATTCGCATTATAGGGGTACCAGAAGAAGAAGAGAGAGAAAAACAGATAGGAAGTGTCTTTGAGGAAGTAACTGCTGAAAACTTCCCCAATCTGGGGAAGGAGATAGTCTCTGAAGCCATGGAGGTGCACAGATCGCCCAACACAAGGTACCCAAGGAAGACAACACCAAGACATATAGTAATTAAAATGGCAAAGATCAAGGATAAGGACAGACTGTTAAAAGCAGCCAGAAACAGAAATAAGATCACATACAAAGGAAAGCCCATCGGGCTATCATCAGACTTCTCAGCAGAAACCTTACAGGCCAGAAGGGAGTGGCATGATGTATTTAATGCAATGAAGCAGAAGGGCCTCAAACCAAGAATACTTTATCCAGCAAGATTATCAGTTAAATTTGAAGGAGGGATTAAACAATTTCCAGATAAGCAAAATCTGAGAGAATTTAGCTCCCACAAACCATTTCTACAGTGCTATAGATGGAAGTGTTCCTAAGGTTTAATAGCTGTCACCAGAGGTAATAAGACCACAGTAAAGAAAGTAAAACAGCTAATCATTAAGGAAATGCAAAATTAAATTAACTATCCCCAAAGTCAATCAAGGAATAGACAAATAGTACATAATGTGATACCTAGTATACAAAGAATGGAGGAGGAAGAAAGAGGAGAAAAAAAAAAAGAACCTTTAGATTGTCTTTGTAATAGCATATTAAGTTAGACTCTTAGATAGTAAGGAAGTTAACCTTG